ACTGACGCTCAATAACGTTACTTTAAACCGCGCGGAAATGTAAATGAAATTCCCATTTCTCGAAAATGTCATTCAGTGATATTGCTCTGTGATTTAATAATGTGTAATATTCTTCGATTTAAACTTTTGTCTCGTATTATGTGCCAAAGGAATTTTCGCCCAAGTATATTTTCTAAATGCTGAAAATGCTTTGACAATATTTATAGGCAGTTTTATTAATATAGAGTCATAATCGAATAGTCATAAAAATTTGTCGGACTTTAGCTATGAGCCAATATTTAAACCTACTTCTGTTCTTTTTTTAGCTCAAAGGGGCGTTAGCACAGAAGTCTCGTAACGGCATTTTACGTCGAATCACTAAAAGAGTTGAATCATTTTTAAAATTGTTTCCGCCAAATATTAATGTCCTATATTTTATTTAAAGAAATCAAATAATGGAGAATTTGCATAAATATATGAATATTTCTCGCACTGTGAAAATCAACGGTACCTAGAGCCGTCTAATTTTGAATAACTTAGTCCTCCACCTGAATATGGGCACCTGGAAGCCCGAATTTTGGATGTCGAATTTGTTTAATTGTGTATTTCATATTTTGTTAAACTTTAAAGAATTTACATTTAAAAAACTCAATGATTTCAAAGCGAGCAATGGCCACACTGTACGAAAAAAGAAACACTTTTATCTCCAGCATGCGAGCTGGAGGAGCTTCTAAAGATATGCTGCTTTAAAATATTTTTAGCCCATATAGACGTTAGCCGAAATATTCTCGAAACGTGCAATTGTGTGGAAATTAAAAAACATCCCTTTTGGCATAATATAAAATCTGAAAGCATTCAGATTTTTTTATTTTTATATTTTTATTTTTTAGTTTTAAACTAAGCTGCCTTAAGAATATGTGATTAAAACCTCCAGTTTCGAAAATTTTTTATTGATCAATGCCATTCATGAAAGTATACGCAGCAACGACTGTCACTTTATTTGTTAACAACAAAAATTCTTTTACTAATCTTTTATTTTTAGTTAAGTACATATTAAGACATTCCTCTTCAACTTGGGCACGACTTCTAAACATTGAACGCAAATTTTAAATTTTAATATTTTAATCTATTTTCCTAGCATGGGAAAGAAACATTTTATACGTATTTTAGAATGAATACAAATTTTACTGAATATGTTTATAGTAAATCGAGGGGTGGCGTATAAAATCTACATTTATTTTTCCTTTATATATATACACTGCCCTCCTAAAGTTAAGGAACAGCATGTTTTTCAGATCTCACCATTACAAAAATGTCAGCAGCGTTTAAATTCACATTTCATATGAATGACAGTAACGAAGTTAAGAAAATGTATGCAAAAATAATATATACTACTTTTATTTTATAGAAATTGAATACTTATACAGGAGATGGAGAAAAAACGCTAAAATTGTAATTTTTGTTCACGAATGTTGATCTTCAGTTGTTACTATAGTTTCGTGGACAATATCCGGGAGAATCTATCAGTGTCCAGGAGAAGTCGTTTGCCCAATTCGTCGAGGTGGCGGGTGATCGGATGGATAGAAATGGGAATACCACAAGCTGATGCTGCTAAACGTCTCAATGTCTCTCGTAGTTTTTCCACCGACTATGGAATCAGTTTGAATCCGAGGATTCTTTGTCTAGAAGACATATCCCAGGCAGACCTAGAATTACAACACCTGCGAGACACCATTATTTAGCTCATTCGGTCCGAAGGAGGAGTAACATTACTGTGCCTCAGCTCATGGAAGATCATTTAGAGGCAACAGGAACAAGAATCTCAGCTACTACAGTGCGCCTGTACAATACGGGTTTATATGCAAGACGAGCAGTTCTTTGTGTCTCCTTGACCCGAGGATACAGAGGTGCCTGTTTATGTGGGACAAGAGAACACGTCAAGAACAATCAACAATGGGCGTCTTTTCGCTTCACAGACAAGTCCAGGTTCACAATGGAGTGTGATTCAGGTTGTCAGTTGATCTGGAGTGAATAACGCACCGGATACAACCCATCCCACATCGTGGAAAGACACAGTTACAAAGGTGGTGGAATAATGGTTTGGGTTGGAATCTCTTTCGGTAGTCACACTGACCTGCATGTATTCCATGAAGGAACTTTGACCGGTGAGAGATACTGAGATGACATCCTTCATCAATATGTCCTCCCATATGCCGCAGGTACTGGATTTCTTCTGATGGACGACAATGCGCGATGGCACCGTGCTCGGGTTGCTGAAAAATATATTCAGGGTCACGATATGGGACGCATGGAGTGGCCAGCTCAGTCCCCAGACCTGAATCCGATAGAGCGTCTTTGGGACTACCTTGGGAGAGAGGTTGCTGCTTTAAGTACTCCTCTAAATTCGTTAGATGAGCTTGAACAAAGATTACTCCATGTCCGGTCGTTGCCTCCCCTCTCATTGACCGAAAACTTAATTGACACCATGGAACGTCGCTGCCGTCGATGTATTGCAGCTAGGGTTGGACACAATCCTTATTAGAACTCATTTTTGTTATGTTAACACCCCATATTTCCTCAAAAAAAAAAACTACTGTGATATACTGTTTGTCCAAGATTGGGTTTCTCTGCCAAGAGTGCAATTTTTTGTTGTAATTCATGTTTTTATTGCACTTTAGAAACATTCTATGTCGCATTCATTACAGAATGTTTAGTGAACATGTCCTGTAAATTTTTTGTTTCTATGTTGCTTCATTCTCAAATTAGACACAAAAACTCGTTGTTCCTTAGCTTTTGAAAGGCAGTGCATAATATTTTCCACTTTCTTGACACTGAATTCAATTACATATGCATATAAAGTTTTTTTCTTCTTCTGCTTTTTTTGTTTTTTTTCCTTGCAGAATGCGTTTTTTTATCTATTTTTGAGCTGACACGTGTTTACTCATCTGGGAATGGGTGTAGTTTTCTAAATGTTTGTATACAAATACGCACAGACATAGACTACACAGCATATATATTTAGAGAGAGAGAAAGAGAGAGGAAGAGAAAGAGAGAGGAAGAGAAAGACGATAGTTTTAAGCAGGTTGGACAAAACGTAATAAAACACACCGATAGCTTCAAAAAGACTTTATTAGCAGAACTTTTCGAATTATCCAATATATACATTCAAATGATACTCTTCAGAATACCTACATCGTTTCAAAATTAGAAATCCCTCAGCTGCAGATTACAATGAAACCTACACAATTTTTTAGCACAGTACACATTATTTTTTGGCAGCATATACCTTTTCTAGTTACTTAGCAGTTTAAAAGTAAAGCGCTTCTCTAAGGCTGTATTAATGCAAAAATTTATTTTCCTACTTATTGTTTGAACTTATCACAAGAAGTTTTCATAAGAGGTAGTATAATAAACAGAAATCTTAAAACAGCTTTATACAATTTGATAACATTTTTAATAAAAATATATTTACTAGCAGAATAAAATCGGCTTTTGGAATCTAGTAATAAATCATGTTGTTAAATTCTACATGCACACAGTAAGTCAAGTGTAATGTTTCTAAAATCTAATAGACATTTGTGGAATTTTAATACAAAATTATATCAAATGATCTGATACAAAATTGTATCTGAGGTATCAAAATTGTATCTGAGGTATCAAAATTGTATCTGAGGTATTGCGCGCCTTCAACCTGCACGCAACCAAGAGGTGACTGTTGAAACTGGAAAATAGACAGAGTCTTGCGAAGGGATTAAGTCCCTTTTTATTTAACTTAAGAAATTACAATTGCGTGCTCTTGACGCTCACAAACTACGCCGACCCGGCGGTAAAATAAAAATAAGAACCTGAAAAAAAATAATAACAAGACTCTAACTACGAGGCTCTCTAAAAGTAACTAACCTCACCGCGTTTTACAATACCGCTGCTAATTCAGCAAACTTTGAATATCACGTTGAACGATTAACAATTCTCCGAGGCAAGCACACAGGCCGAAACGCGGGTTTCTTCAATTTCTGGCTAACTACCTCCGCGCTCGTGAAGTAAGAACAGCACATCTCGAACTCGTTTCCTTTCTATTTAACTCAGAATACTTCCGCTGATAATTTGAATCCTTGCGCGTTCTACGGCTTGACAGGAAAGATAGTTTAAACTTAAAATAAATGTTAGTTAAAATAAATATAAACCCTATAAGGTTAGAATATTTAATAAAGTTTAAGGAGGTTACAGTATAAAATATGGTCTTAGAACTGCTTCTGTCAAATATTTTTAGTGATTTTGTTTTCTGTTAAAGGTCTCTGAATATACATATCGAGTCGTTTAGTGGTTCTCGAAAAATGATTTTATCAAATGCAGGTTTTAGTTGATATAATGAATTATGAAGTACGATATGAAAGTCTCTTACATATTGTTGCGTGCGTACGGGTTCGTTATGAAATGAATGCACAAGTCCGATGAAAAATGAACAAAAATTTATTATTATCACAACAAAAATGCTTACATTTTCTCAAATTATCATGCAGTATTACAATATATCACAGTAGTTATCTTTTAACTACTCAAATATCCAATAGAACGTAATTCAAAACAGCTAAAGAACGCTAATCTGCGAATTCGCTACAATCAACAAGAGCAGTTTTCTAAACAACAACAAACTAAGCAAGCAACTAACTACAAACTGAGATGTTTTCCTCCTTTTATAAGATTTTAAAAATCACGCTCTACAATTTTCCAGTACTTTCTCTAAATCAAAAAGAGATATTTATTTATTTAATGCACGCGCTCTTGTATTTTCAATTTTCCGGCTTAGCTTTCTTTTAATATTCGTCACGCGCTGCACTGCGCGAGAAATAAAACCATTTAATTTATAATTGAACTAACAATAGCTTTTTAAATACCAAATTCATAACACTATGTTCTCTTTCTTACAACAGTTTAAAATACAAATCACACATTTAAATGTTTGTGTAGGAAATGGGAAGGAATGTGTTCATTTTGAATTTAGTACCATTTAAGTAATTGGAGCTGATCGTTTTCGGACTCATTACTAGTATTTAAAGTCACTGTTATAAAATTAAATAAATTTGCTTTCATACAATTGCTTATCACTATTAAAATAATTACTAAAAGCATATATTTTTTGCAGCTTTGCGTCCAGGAATGTTTCGTGATCCATTTTTTAATATTTATCTACCAAAGTGAGTTATTAGAGTATTTCATAAACTTTTGTAAATATAATTTCTGTGAAAATTTGCTTATGCATATCAGAATTATTTCATTTACATCATTCATAAAATTTTCAAAATATTTTAGTATTCATTGGCACATTTATTTCAGTTACCTAAATTATGGAGCTCTTGGTTCTTTGATCGCTTATGAATTAGCCCATGTATTCGATGATACAGGTAAAAATTAATATTTATGTAAAATTAATAGCCTGCATTTAAATAGTGAAACATGCCACATATAGTATAGCCTGAATGTCAGATAAAATGCTAAAACCAAAAATACAGTAATATGCAAGTAATACGTAAAATGAAATTATGCCGCATGTTTACATATTTTTGCGTGCGTACGGGTTCGTAATAGATTGAATGCACACAGAATCGATGATAAGCTTGATAAAATTTATTTTACCAAAAGAAACACTTCACAGTCCTGGAACTTTCTACAAACATATTCGTACAGCTCTTCACAGTATCACACAGCACAATCAGTAGTTACACTTCAAATACTAAGAACGTTAAACACAACGTAATACAAAGCTCATCTAAGAAGCGAATTTAGCACAGATATATCTCAATACTCAGAACTCCCACTAAACTGAACTACTCAGAAGATACTCTCTACAAGCTTATATACTTTCTCCTCGACTGCCGAGAAATCTCTAGTAATTTTCGAAATTATTGGAAGCCATATGAGGGCCGGATATGGTTACAGATATATATCTAGATTATTTACATTTATTCATTCACAATACCAATTACGGTTATCATGGGACTGACCTAAATTTCGCCAAATGGTTACCAAGTTTGGCGACTTTTGGCGAAAATTTGGTAACAATGTCATTAAATTAAAAAGACTAGAAAGCGAATATCTGGTGTCAGACCCCTGGAAATAAGTACTATGTCGAATGGAAGAACCTAAACGTTGCACTCTAAAACTGCAGAAAATGAATCTTTCATGAAAACGACATGGCTTAATAGTAACTGTAAACCTACGTACGGTGTAGTGTAACAGTAACTGTAAACTTTACAAATGTAAAAATTTCAAAATTCAAATGTTTTTATTTCTAGAAAAAGTTATTTCTCGCACATCTGGGGCTCACTGTTAGCTTTCGAATCTCATTTCGGATAGTGAATGAACAATTAAGGAGAAAAATATATCGGTTGCCCGTACGAAAATAATACTTTCATGAAATATTTCTTCGAAACTGGTAGAAAGTCTTTGGAAGCAGAAATTATATGTCCTGTGAATTGTTACGTAGAAATTGGAGGCTCTGCCTCATCGTTGAATTTAACCACGAATTGCATTATAACGATTTGGTTTTGTTTCTTAAAGGCGACAACACGCTTGTCATAGGAATATATACAGATTCAAAAGTCATTCACCTCTTCTCTCTCTACCCGTGAAGTTCACAATTGGCCATTTATGTATTTTAAAGGCGTTGAGCCGAGGTGGTTATATTTGTTGTTGCAGATTATAATTTGAACAATGTAAAATTAATTTCGAAAAGAATTACTTAATTAGGATTTTACAATATGAAATTTAAAACCTCTGAGTTACTGAAACCGCATTTAATAGCTGAATTGTAAAATTACTTCTTTAAATCTCTATTTTCATAAACTTGCGATAATATTTGCATCATTAAAGACAGTAAGAAAGCAAAATAATTTATATTATAAATTAATATTATAAGGTATTTCTTCCGCCTTCCTAGCGTGCCTTCGTGGTGTAGTGGTTCTGCATGCTGGGCCGGTATTCCAGAGGTCCGTGGTTCAATTCCAGGCGAAAGCATTTGCTCGTTTTTCATCTCTCCTACTAACATAATGTCTCTACAATATATACGAAAAGACAAAACCTCTAGAAAGTGTTGAGTTTCAGCGCAACATAATGATTTTAAATATTGAAAGGATAGTCTAGGAAAGTCACTATACTCTATTATCTTACAAATTATCACATAATCAAATAGTGAGGAGCATCTGATACGGTTTAACGAAACTAAAAACATCACTGGGAAACTTGTGAACAAAGAAATGTTTATAAATCTGAGAGAGAAGATGTGATTCTTCTTTAATTTCTTGCAGGATGCTTTCTGGACAATTTCATATGGCTAGCAATTTTTCAAGTAACGAAAATACCATTATTCAAAGAAAATTTAAAAGGTTATGCTGAAGTATATTATGTGAATAAGCAAAACAATCTTATGTGCACACCACATAAATACCTTGTATGACCTATTAAATTATACACATTTTGTGCTGCATTTCATTTAAACATTTTTCCTCGAAGTTTTAAGACACATATTTCTCATTCAATTAAATAAGCTCACCTAACCAGGTAACAGAGTGGGAAAATGTATAAATACAGGGTGATACTAAATTCCTTTTACAAATTAAGAAGGGTGACAATACCCATCCAGTAGAGCAATAATTATCATAGAACATAGGGTCGCATTCCACTGAGAGGCAGAAAAGCGGAAAATAGAAATGCGTTGAGAAAGAAGAGACTATCTCTTAAGACTATCAAGAACTAACCGTATACAAATTTGAACTGAGAAGCAGCAGCATTTTTCTCTTAGTTGGTACCGGAGAAAGCCAATCAGAACAAACGGTGTGCTTGAAAACGGCAAAACATCATCGCTTCAAGTATCACCTTGATAACACCGTCAGAAACTTTTCCTGGATGCTCTGGCGGAGTACATGTACGAAGATTTGGCAGACATTCACCTCACATACGGTGAAGCAAAAGGCAATGGACGCGAAGCACGAAGATTGCACGAACAGCTGTTTCCAAGTCATCCAACCTTTTCCAGTATTGATCGAAGATTGCGAGAAACCGGTTATTTTGCCATCTCAAAAGACAATGCAGGACGTTCGCGAAATGTGCGAAAGTCAGAAATGGAAGGCCGAATTTTGACTAGATATGTAGCAACTCCTTCCACAAGTACGCGAGCGGTGACATACGAAATGGGTATTTCTCAGCAGTGGTGTGGCGCATTTTATACGAGGAATGCACGCACCCCTACCAAGTGCAAAAAGTGCAATCCTTGGACACAGATGATCATTCGTGCTGGGCAAACTTTGTGTAATGAATGCTTGAAATGAGGACTAAAGATCTACGATTTCCTATATCAATATTATTTAGTTATGAGGCTACATTCAGCAGACGTGGCATTTTCAACGTGCACAATCAACACGTTTGGTATAACAGCAATCCCCTCTGCACTACCCCTTATAAACACCAGCATAAATTTTCCGTTAACGTCTGCGCAGGCAGGTGATTACATGGTAGGTCGTTACATCCTGCCAACCAGAGCCAACCAGAGTTTAACCAGAGCAACAATCCGTATCTTCTTGGAACAAGTGTTTCGCAGCTTATTGCTGGTTGTTCCGCTTCCCATCCAGAGACACACATGGTTTATGCACGATGGAGACCAAGCTCATTTTTCCGTCACGGTCCGTAACGTTTTGAATGCCATATATCTTGCACAATAAACGGACGTCGCGGACCTTTTAGCTTCCTCGAATCTCAACCCACGGGACTTTTTCTTCTGGGGCACATGAAATCTCTAGTGTACGAGACGCCTGTAGACTCAGCTGAAGATCTCTTGGAGATAATCGTTGTTGCCGCTGACAAAATTAACACGACGCCAGAAATCTTCGAGAGGGTGGGGCAGTCGTTCCTTCGCCGATATCAACTGTGCAGCGACACACGTGGTCGGCATTTTGAGCCCTTTTCACTTTTGGTCTCGTTCATTCGCTTTCCCAACACTGTTGTAAGTTCAAGTTGGAATTGTAATTTTCCAACTTCAACTCTTTTCTGCCTCTCAGAGTCGATTGCGACCCTATGCTCTATGGAAATTATTCCAGGTCTAGATGGGTACTATCGCCCCTCTTAATTTGTAAAAACCATTTAGAATCCCCCTGTATACATATGTGATGTACCAGCTTTTGTTCGGAATAAATAGATTGGTGAAGATATATAGATGTAGTCTTAGCTTAAATTACCACACGATAAGTTTAAGAAACAGGATCCATTTATTATTGGTCAGGAGAAATAGCAGTTACGAAAATCATATTTCCAGAGTAAATAAAAAAGAATTCCTAATAACTTTTTGTATGAAGTTTGCTGCATCGTTACATTAAAGAAAATTACCCCAATATTCCTTTGCGAGTTCTTTTATAGCCTCTGGAAAGGGGAGCTTCCAAGAAATGACGTCAGCCACGACAGCCATTCCAGTTCGCTTTAAATATCTCCAGAACATTCTATAACTGTACGTGTAGGAAAGGCGGGTAAAACAACTTGACTACGGGGGCTGTGCATTTAATTCCACGTACTTTCAACTAAGAAGACCGTCGCCATTAAAAAATGAAAAGAACATTCAGTTAGAATTTTAAGTGTATTCTTGACTATAGAATTTTGTTATACATATATATATATATATATATATATATACGATTGCTGCTGCTGATTGCAACGAAAACAGGTGGTGCACAAGTATATATTGGTACAGTTTCATGCACAAAGTTTCAGCGTTCTACGGCTACTCGTTCTTGAGTTATCCGAGATACATACGCACGTATGTACGTACGTACAGACGTCCAGAAATGAATTTCTTCTGAATCCATTTTATATCCTTTTACAATCTGTTTTGGCAAACACAGTCCTTTATTCTGCCTACGTCACACAAAACCTTCATTTAATTGGTTTCGAGAGCGGTTGATATATGATACCCGAAATTTTTCACGATTTTAATATTTCCTTTATTTCGTACAAGAAATTTAAAAAAAAAGGAAAAGCAGAGTCTGTCAACGAAAGAATACTTTGAACTTCTTTTCTAAACTAGTCTTTTCCGTTATTTCTCCTTAAGGAGCTTAAGAGATGATATCAGTTCTTTAGAATATTTCAGAACCAATCGTGTTCATTATAAAAGTAGATTTATCATTTACAACAGGAATGCTGTGCTTAAGATTAATTTCAAATAAAATTGAGAAGCTTCTTTTTTAGTTATTTTTTTATGAAACTGTTCATGAAAAAGAAATAATCTTGAAGCAGCCTTGCTTTTCTATTTTTTAAGTGTTTACACTGCACAGAACATATTGGCCTCTAACTTTCATGTGCCTTCGCGCACAGTCAGTTTTTTAGTCTTAGTCTCTGCTGTTTGGTAAAGCGTAAGAACTTTAAATGACAACGTATTTAACTAGTTACGTGTACAACGTAATGTATTAACTAACATATTACGGTATCTAATAATGTATTTAATTGATATAAATTATGATGTACTTAATAAATCCAACTGATAACTTTTAGGAACTTTTGAAGCTTTGCTGTAACTTATGCAAATATCTCTAGAGTCATATGTTACGTGCCTAGCACAAAATCATTTGTCTCTTTCCAACTTTTAGAGGGGTTTTGTTTAGGATTTCAGTAACTTACATATTTATTTAGTTTAGCTTTTAATTTTATTTAAGTATTCATTTACAATATTTACTCTTTGCTGCTTTCAATATTGATTTTAACATTGCAGGTCGGCAGCTTGATAAAGATGGAAACGCAGTTCAATGGTGGAGTGACTACGCAGAGAAACGTTTCAAAGAGAACGCCCAATGCTTAGTAAAGCAGTACAGAATTAATACGAATATTTATATAGGTACAAGTGAGGTAAGACAGATTTATGTCATTTGATCATTATCATTTGCCGGCATTAAAATTAAAGAATGAGTGTGACACTAATTGCATAAAGATTGACTAACATTCGTTGAATACAATTAAGGGTAGTAAAATGGGCATTTTGGGCATGTTGTTCAACTAGGAAGAACGCTGACTGATGAATAAGGTTTTATTCCCATGATATGCAAAAAATCCAGTACGTGCAAATCATTAAAGCAGCATATGCTATGCTGTGCACATATCCTAAAAGTAAAATTTTAAGTTTGAGATTGGTCAGGTACTGTTAGTCATATCTCTAATGTATAAGTTAGAAGTGGCTAATAATTGGTAGACTTGTGACAGGTAAAGAACAACTAGATGTCCCCAGAAGTTTCCTTAAGTGTGAAGGCAAAATTACAGAGCCGCAGCTGAAAGTTACTATTTATCATTGCTAGTATTCAGAAACAGTTAAGTAGCTGCCATATATCAGGCTTACTAAGACCATCAACCACTATGGTTCGCAAAGAATCTCTAAACAGTTTTACATGAAGTACCAGAACTTCGTACATGTACATCTCCGTATTTACAGAAAGTATTTCAAGTTCTTTTCAGTCATTTTTCATGATATCTTGCAAAGCAGATAGAAATTATATCCTTCATGCTATGTCTGATTGTTTATTTGTATATCGAACTGTGCAGAAGGACTATGTGTCTAAGTGAAGAAGTTAGAATGTTTTTAAATTATAAAAATGGCTTATATTTGTCATATAGGGAGAAAATCCCAAACCCATTCGTTCAGACAACCGTTCGCCCGGAATGAACCAAAGCAACTTTTATTCTTCAATAAAGTCCATTCTTTCATGGATGTGAAATAGAAGTTTGCACTTCTCAGAATCTCTCCATATGAAACCTTGGATTGCTTAATGGTGTAATGAAATGTAATAAAATGTAAATGAAATGTATATCAGCGTGCTGCAACCCTCCTGGCCTATAATAATCGGCCTCATGACTAACGTAGCACACCCAACACAGATTAAAACGAAAATATGATTAGCTCTTTCCTGCACACTAACTTTTAAAGTTGGAGTTTTGATTAAAAAAAACTGTAGGCAGTCTAAATTAGGCCTAGGGGAGTACACAAGTAAACTTTTGTGAAGATAGGATTAGTATAAGAACACTGTGTGTAGGAACACACAGTAAATTAAGTCAAATAAGTTCATTTTTCTTTTACTGCGTGTAAGAACACACAATAAATTCATTCGAGTCAAATGAGTTCATTTTCAGTTTACTGTATGTGGTCTTTTTGTATTCCTAACAAAAGAAATTAAGTCAATTTGAAATTACTGAGAAATGTCAATTTTCTCGCTTAAAGATTGATATAGGGTAAGGTGACCAGACGTCCCGATTTTTAACAATTTGTCCCGCCTCCCGCGGCGTTTTAAAAAAGTCCCGATTTTTTGGAAAAAAGGCACGACAAGCTAGGAAACGGCAGAAGAATACGGTTTTGTGGCTACTTAGCCAGGATATGAGTTTTATATTATTTTTATAAATTTTATAATGTTAAATTTTAATAATAACAATTTACATGCAACTGCAACATATTGAGACCAGCTTTTCAAAGTTCGCATTGTTGATCAGTTGTTAGAATTCGACCCCTATTATTTGGACTTATTTGGCTGAATTTAAGAGACAGTACTCTTATTATTTATATTTTATAGTGGTGGCAAAAGGTCTAGCTTCGGCCTTGAAAGTAACGCTTACAACTACGTTACGGCAAATTCAGAAGGAAAAATTACAAGTTAATATTGCTATTATTTAGAAAGAAATATAGGATTGAATCAAATAAATTTAAAATATAGTTAAAACCAAACAAATAATTAATTTTTAAAATAACAATAAAATATGTTCATGTATTATGTACCACTACTTGATTTTAACAATATATATAGATAAAAATTTATGTACCAATTATAACTTTATAATAAATACTTCTTTAGATTTTTTGACAATAATGAGTAAGAATAGAAGGATGCAAAATTAAGATGATCTAAGAAGTGATTTCCTTTTCTTGAAAAATGAAAAGCATTACATGGTAAAATGTGAGAAATTAATGGTGAATTTTCTATTTCACGCGCACTTATTTATAATTCGTTTAAGAATGATTTTTAAACATCGGAGACACGAAAATAAGAATTTAAATTACTACTGCATCTTCCCAAAATGCAGAATTCTTTCGAAAAAATTTATGGGGGAAGGAAAAAATTAGCATACAGGAGAACTTATGTCTTTTTATACTAATAACCATAATCAATTCTTTCAGATCTTGTACATCATAAGTTGTCCAAAGTTATCAACAAAACGACAGCATCTACTAAGAGAATACACTTAAATGAAAAAAATATGCCAAAGAATAAAATAAATACTATACGTATTTTTTAATGTATTATATTTGTAAATTGTACTTATGTTGAAATTAAAAAAATACATATTACAATACTATTTTTGCGTTCTTTGAAATTTGTGTTGCTCCATATATACCAAATTTTTAATCAAGAATCCCGCCCCTCGGTAAATGGTGTCCCGCTTTACCAATGTCACCTTATAGTGGGAAAAGGTTATCTGAGTCGGTATAAAATGATTTTGAAGTGTTTGAATATATACAAACTAAGCGTCTTGCAGAATGTTATAAGAATGCAAAAGGTTTTAAAAGTGGACTTATTCCTGAGTACCCTTTGTAGCTGTTGTAACTGTTTAACTGTAACAATTCTTGAATACAGATACGTATATATTTTGAAGAAATTATTTCTTTCGTAGGCAGACGGAAGAAAGGCAGAAGAAGAAATAATATCTGGCATTGGAGGTCTGAAAGCAGCTTACTGGGTAAGGAATATTTGAATTTTATGAAGCAATGAAATAATGTTTCAGTGTCCAGATATAAAATATAATGAAATAAAAGCAATGCATTTAAGAAAAATGATTACATTTACTTGTAAATAGAATGGTCAGTTACAGAAATGTAAATGATTATTTAACTAGTATATTCGAAGGTTTACAGCCGAAAACATCGCGGCGAAAACATCGCAGACGAAAACGTCGCGGAGAAAACAATGCAAGGCGAAAACGTCGTGCTACAAAACATCGTGGGAGAAAAACATCGCAAAGAGAAAACATCGCAGTTCTAAAACGTCGTGGTACAAAACATAGTCGTCGAAAATAAAGCGGTTCAAAAATTTCGCTGTTGCTATGTTCGCCGTTTACCAGTCTGCTCTTGCACTCTCTTCTGCTAACCCATTTGTCTTTTTAGCTTTGTTATTAAGGATCATTTTCTTTGCATTTACACCGCATGCAATTCAACAGCAAAATCACAGAGCTTTTAAAAGCAGTATAGAAGCGTATGATTAAAATTTCAGATGCAGTGTTAAATCTTGGCATACAATTTGCTATTTATTTTAAGTCTTTTCTGAGTTCAACATATCGACATTCAGTTTTCGTAGTAAGATGGCTTACAGAATGTGTTCCTCTCTTTTCATTATTAACACTTTATGTGCTAACTTTATTTATTAAATATCACGTTCTTCACATTTAAGTCACATAAAATTCATTCAACAGCGAAATCACAAAATATTTAAAAACAGCATATATTTTTCCTGATAGAGTGTGTTCGCCGTATTTTAAGTCTGCTACATTATTTTTTTTAAAAAACTAGCCACTTGCCCATTCAACCACCTAAAACAGTACTATAATATATATATGTTACCGTGAAAGACCGAAATTGGAGAATGTCAACATTCACCAAATACGTCGGTGAAAGATCGAATATTGCATTACATTCTGTACATTTGGACCCTCACCGTGTTGTCGACAATCACAGATATGCTCTGGTGTAGGTCGAAAAGAGAGGAGTATATTGTACACGTGTCATTCAAAAGAAAGTGTTCCACAAATAAATGCAGTTTTAAAAGCAAGGGCCTCTTGTGCAATTCAAGTGTCATAATAGTTAAGTTGTTGCAATAAATAAGATTTTAATCACGGAATTTAGTAAGTTTTTACTTCTATTATTTTCTTTTCATCATTTGAATGTACAGTGTGTTTTAAGTTCTTATGTCTTAGTTTATTTAAGTCTCAAGTGCGTTTTTCGTGACCAATTTTTCGCGACGAATTACGGAGAAGAAAATGTAATATTCTTATGTGTTCAACATTCACATTAGTACATGTGATGCGAATTGACCGGTTAGTCATAAAAAGATATTTGGAAAATATTTTGGACACACACCAAGCGACTATGTGAATATTGACATTCACCGGTGAAAGTCGACATTCTCCAGATTTCGGTGTTTCACCGTAACATATATACATAGATAGATAGATGTTGTTGTTTCAAATGCTCACTTGGCTGATCTATGTTCAGCCCAAGTCCTCTCACAGTACCTTATAGGTGACTTTATAGAGATGACATCGGCAGTCAAAGTTAGGATACGAAGTTCTGATGTCTAAGCAAATGAAAAGCAAACGGTTCGATCAAAATATCTTCTAGAATAATTTTGTACGTAAAAACTTCTAAAAAATTTGCAGCATCACAGCTGAGTGCAGTTTTCGAGCTTAGCTGTGTGGTGCAGTATAAAGTCGATTTTTATGTCATCATAGATCAGTTTGTTTCTTATTAGATAACGAACATTTACAATTCTTCTCAGAATCTTATCTTGCATTACCTGACGTTTATAGAAGTCTGCCTTTGCGACTAACGCCCAGGCTGCAGATACGTAGCATAAAATTGGCCTTATAGAGCATTGGTATATCCTTCTCTTATTGTTCAGAAAACAGTCCAGAATAGTTTCCTATGAGTACAGAAAATTGGCTTGCGATACCATAGACTTTTCCAATGATGTGCTTAATATGACAAGTCCATGTAAGCCTTCACTTAATAATAACCTCTAGGTAACTTACATTATTTACACTGTTTATAATTTCCCCAAATAAGACAATCTTAGAAATTTCCTTTCGGTTTTCATTTAAATACTACTTTGCTATACTCTTATCATGCTATCGTAAGCTATTGCAGAAGCTTTCACTTTCGATTTTGAATTTTTATGCCTAATCATCTGTTTAATTCTTATTGGGTATTTTATTTCAGGCGTATCAAGCATGGGTAGTACAGCACAGAATGGAGCCAAAACTTTCGACACTCAAATTTTCACCGAATCAGTTATTCTGGATGCGGGCTGAGAACGTAAGTCAACAGCTAAAATATACATTAGTGGATGCTGCTTGAGCAAAATGCTGGCAGAAAGTATATTGAATCACGTCTAAATTCTCTTAAAATAAAAAATGACATTTAATCCTATATCATTAATTGTAACATAGGACCTGCAATGTAAACTAAATGCTGCAAAATGAATAAATTACTCATTTCTCCTCAGCACTTAAATGTTTCGATGAATACTTTGACCAAGAAGCTGAAAATGGCTGATTCTGCTACCGCTGCATATAACTGCTCATAACCAAATGTTGCTAACTCTATTCAAGGTTTTTACGACCTAAGTCGAAAGTAGAGAAATTTCAGAAATTTACATCTTGAGTTTCGTAACATAGAAATTTATTAATTGCTAAATTTTCCCTTATGTCAGAAGCTTTCTAGACGTAACATTTTAACAATACTTTTATCCTTAGCAAAGGCTTTCCAAAAAGTTTTCGGGCTTTAGATTATATAACGTCAAATAATGTTACCCCCCGCTGCCAAGCACTTGCTTCTTGTTGCACTAGCTATTGTTAGTGAACCGGTTGTTAACGAATAATATACTGTCCTTCCCTTCTCCTCCACTGTTATATAATAAATAAATATATATATATTTGAAAACATATAGACTCCCCGTGCACCACAGATGCACAGGGCTTACAGAAGTAAGTTAACTAAAACGTTAAAAGTTACATGCATAAGCAAAAAGAACAAAAGCAGAGAACAGCATTCTGGACTTTACGAAAACAGATAAGTTTACTGGCCACGTCACTCCGAACATTTTCAGGTCGTTCTGCAAGTATAATCTAGGGCATGTGAAAATCAAATGTTCCACATCCTGAGTTACTCTTTTGGAACATTCACATAAATTGTTTGATCTTAGATTAAAACGAAACAGGTAACTTGCAAATTTACCGTAACTAGATAAAAGCTGAGAAATTTTAAACCTATAGAGAAGAAACACTCGGAATGCAGTATATGGTAAATAGAAAGAAATACCTTTTAGGTGACCATAGCAATTACAAGATGAAACATATTCCTCATTCCACTTAGCTAAAAGCTTCTTATAATAAAAAGACTTCCAATAGCTCTTTCGAATGCTAATGTTGATATCAATGGGTAAATTTAAAAATTGAAATGAAACATTTTCACTATCGGATAACATGAAGGGTTCGTCATGTTCATCTTCCGTTATATCTTCAGGCGTATGACCGAATTTTGTTTCATCTTCACCATCACTAGTATTCTGATCCATAAATAACCCTTTCCAGCTTTCACCAAGACCAAACATCCTTGCTGTAGCACGATTTCCATTTCCTTTCACAAAATGAATGACTTCCCATTTGAAAACAGCACTGTGTTTGTTTCTTTTCGCGCAAGCCTTACTTACTATTAAAAGAAGCGCTAGATCAACTGCATTTGAACTAAAGCAAATGCGATTTACTAAATCACACCTTCAAATGACTATAGAAAGGGAAAACATCCAGCTCCTAAATTCACGAATTCATTAAAGTTGGAAGTGCTCTGCAGTAGCATTCTTTGGGACATCTGCATTGAATACAATCCACCCTCTTTTCCTAAATATTTACTCCCTCAAGCATTCAGCCCACACTTATTTTGTTCCTCTTATCGCTTGTCAATGCGATTTACCATTGTTCGAAAGGCTAGGATAAATGTTTTAATAAATGACCTCAAAAGATAAGAGCAATGAACATGTCTCTTTTAGATTTCTTCGTGAATAATTGGATGCGCGTTATAAAGCGAATATACCTAAAATTTAAAAAATGTAGCTTGAAATTATATATGAGTGTATACACCGGAAAATATGGTATTTAGTTTTCCTATTTCTTCACGGTCCTTCTATAGCACTCCGGCACGTCTAATTTTAGAAATTAAGTCCTGAAACTGTCCCAGTTTTTTTGTGTAAGGTGTACCTGACACTCCTCGTGTCAACTGTACTTGATGCCAAGTGTACCTCGTATGAGATGTACTTTTTTGTACAAGCTGTACCTGATACTTCCTCCTGTAGACAACCAGGTGAAGGCATGGTAGACATTGAGAGATACTCTTATACATGTTTCCCCTTAAGAAGAAGGCCTTAAGAAGTACTTAAGAAGCACTACTTTTTTAATCTTTCTGTATATATATGCACAAATGTAACCATTTATGGATGCTTCACATTCAGTCTTTTTCAGATATGGTGTGAGAAAGCTGATCCAACACATACACTACGTAGCGTTCTCGCCGGATCACGCATTCCGCAAAATTTAAGGTGAGTAAAATAAGAATTTACTGGATTAAATATTAGGCAATAATCTAAGAAGAAATACTTCCATTGTGGCTTTGGTAACATATATTAAACATGCTAAGGTTTTCAGAACCACCTGATTGTTAAGTTTAACCTTGCAAAGTTGTAATAGTATTAATTAAAATAGACTGAGTTAACTTCCTTATAATTAATAAAATTATAATAGATAGTATAATTCATATAGATAGACTGGTACTTCCTTTATTAATTAAAAGACTGATTTAATTTAAATAGACTGAGTTAAATTTAATTAAATTTAATTAATAATTAAAACAGGCCGAGTTAATTTAATTTAAAAAATTAAAATAGACTGAGTAGCTTCCTTATAATGCCGAACTTCTTGTCTTACCTTCTTAGTAAAGTCACAAAATACAAACTGACAACAACAAACGTGCAAAACTAATATTTATCAAAGCTTGATCTTTACGACTAAGAAGAATAAGAAAACTATATTTCTTTAAGTTGTAGCTTGATAAGACAGTAATAGTTGAATATTCGCAAATCAAAACTTTATAGACTAGAACCTGACTCCTGCACTAACAAACCTTTTAACATAACCACGTACAAGTGAAAAATGAAATCCACCAGATAGTTAGTGCACTAACAGGAACAAAGAATTTCACTGCTTTCCGGGCTGAGAACTGACAACCCTCTCTTACTAAATTTAGATTCTCTCTTCTTGTTTATTGAGACTGCATTTTCTCGCGGAGTGGATGAAAACGTAGAAATGTAGGAATTCTTCAACATAAGAAATTAATTATTATTTAAAAGAAGCGTTACATATTTAAAAGAGGCTTTATTTTGTTTAATTACTGTAAAATTTTTGAATTTTTGATAGTAAATTTAATGTTATGTTACCGTCAAACAAATTTAAAATAGTGCATAATCTGTTTCAGAGTGATGGGATCATTGTCCAACCTACCAGAGTTTGCCGAAGATTTCTGTTGCTCATTTGATATAACAACAGATCAACAAAACAGATGCCAAGTTTGGTAAAAAAAAAAAAAAAAAAAAAAAAAAAAAAAAAAAAACTTACTGAACAGTTCAAAAGTTCACACAAAATATGAACCAAACACAAAAGTTTGGTAAAAAAAACTTACTGAACAGTTCAAAAGTTCACACAAAATATGAAACAAACACAAAAGTTTGTAAAAAAAAATTACTATGCAAAGGCTGTGCGCATGCATTTATGTAAAATTTCTAAGCAGTTGTAATTTTGTGAGAAATTTCATTTATATTGAAATAAAAGTATTTTCTTATCTTTTAGCAGTCCCACTCATTTTTTTTAAAAATTTCATGATGCATTTTATTTAAATAACAACACTTTACACCAAGAAAAAAATGCCATTAAAAGTAAAAAAGAAGAAAACAATTTTACACGCGAAAGGCTAGATTTCTTTAAAAATATCTGTAATCAAATAATCATTCCTTTTCGTTGAAACAAGCAATAATCCAATGATGTATTTTGCTTTATTTAAATCTGTAAGATTTCACGAGCAAATTAAATCAGAATTTCCATACAAAACTTCTACGCCTTTGTTCAACCAATTACAGACTTCTGCTAGTGTTTCAAGTATTTCGGAAAATTAGTTTGTGATTGCAAAAACGGCAGACTGCAAACAGTATTTTACCGAAAAAAAATTAGAAATAAGAAAAAAAAATTGTAAGTTTTCACATTTTATATTACGCCTAAAGAGGCCTTTCTTTTAACGCTTTTTGTGTTATCTTTATTTGTTAAATATATGTTCTTCGCACTTAAACCATAAAATTCAGTTCACAGCAATATCACAAAATAATTTAAAAAGAGCATATCTTTAGAATTCTCGATACACAGTCTCATGCGTTGGATATAAAAATGTTTTTTTTTTCGTACAGTGTTCCCATTGATCGCTTTGAAATAGTTGAGTTTTAATCAAAAATATGTTAAGGTTTTAGAAAATATGAAAGAGATAATAAAACAAATTCCAAATTTGGGCTTCCAGATGCCCATATTCGGGTGGAGGATTACGTTATTCAAAATCTGACAGCTGTAGACACCTTTGTTTTATCACAATGCGAGAAATATACACATACAAATGCAGATTCTTCATTATTTAATTTTTTTAAATATAATACAAGGCGATATATTTGATGGTAGCAATTTGAAAAGTGATTCAACCATCTAAGTTTGCAATGCAAAATGCCAAAATAAAATTAATAGCCCTTCTGGGCTAACGCCCTTTGGGCTCAAAATTTACGTAGTGCCTTTTTTATAGCCACCTAAGGATAAATTCTATTTCAGCTACAGTAAGCATATGCTTTCGTACAGGGCATTGCAGTTCAGCTTGTTGTGCATGATTGTGATTAAAAAATAATAATCATGGAATTACTAATAAAAGCTGGAACTTCGAAGCTAATATGACTATTAAATGAAAATGAAAATTTTAATATTAATTTAAAGTCTAATACTGCATCTGTAATAGTTTTTCAACTCTGTTTTCATAGCAACTTTTTAAACCACACACAGTGAAACTGGGAACAAAATCAGAGCAAGTTAACAATAAACAGTTTTCTTTGGGAAGCATTCTAATACCATCAATGTGACCTTTATCTTAATCAAATAATACAAAATTACATCGTGATAAATTATTTTAAAATCAATTTATACTGTCCTTAGACTTGAATTGTAAAGCAAATCGGCGATATAATATATAAAAGTAAAAACTAAGATTAATAAAAGGAGAAATAAACATTAAATGAAAATTCCGTGAGTCATTCTTCGGGTTAAGAACAAACTACGAAAGCTAATTAAGGTAATCTAATAGTAATATCAATAATAGATGCTTACGACGAAGACTAGAACTTTTATAATTTCGTATAACAACGGAATGTCTAGCAATTGCAGCAAGAAAAAAATAGATTAAAAGAAATGAATACTAATTTAGAAATTTTTATTAAGGCAAAGATAAAAATGTATACTAATTTATAAGTCTGTAAATAAGGCAAAGATATATGAAATTTATGTAGCCCATATGTACATACATTGTACATATGAATATGTACATAAATTGTACATATGAATATGTACGAATAAAATTTACGAAAGTATGAAACAAAATTAAAAGAAATGTGTTATGACTCCAAACTTCAGAATAGAAGCCATCTTGATCTATAACATATGCTATGCATAGATCTAATCAGATGCATTCCATACATTCAAGAGATTTTATTAATGCATGTTGTAATGTTTAATGATAATTAACCCATTATCTTATTTTATCTTGACTGTCACTTCTATTTTCCACGTCTTCCAACAGGAGGCAAATTAGTTGACATACATGAACAAGGATACGGCTCTCGGCAATGACGTTGATCTCCATCCTATACCTTTCTCAAATTCTTAAATCAGTTACTTAAATCAGCTTTAACGCATTATTCGCCTTTCTGTTCACGTATTTCAATGCTTTTACTAGGATTTTCCTTTATGAATTCAAATCTTATTTACTTAAGTTTAACTGAATGTTTTATGTAGCATAGATTCCGCACCCGGCGCTGATTGATTTCCTAAAACTGAGCATTTTTTGTCGAGTTTCAGTAAAAAGCTTGTTTTAAACATTCATCTCCACAGTAGACATTTCACTAATAAGGGGCGATAAGTCAGCTGTCAGTCTGTATGGTATTTCTCCCGCCTTTCTGGCATGCCTTCGTGGTGTGGTGGTCTGCACATTCAGAGTGTAATTGAGAGGCCCGCGGTTCGATTCCCGGCGAAGGCGTTGCATAATTTTCATCTCTCTGGCCTCGAAAAATCCTAATGTCTCTACAAGTCTACTCGGGATTCAAATTAATTTTGTTTTTATTAGGACTCTGAACAGGGTTAATCTGCTTATATAAAAGTTGCCTGGGGAAGCAGCAAAGTTCAGTTTGATCCCCTCAAAGTAACGAATTTGAGAAGTAGAGCTTGAGTCGAGTGTAACATTTAAAATCCCTCTAGATTGACGAAAAGGGGGGACGCTTCTTCGGATCGCCTCTGGAGGTTGGGGTATTTATTAACAGTGTTAAGGATGCCTCGAGCATGCCGGGTCTAGGATCCCCTTCCTCTAGTGATATGTCTCTTTAGTGCGTGCTTGAGTTCATTTCACGTACGAGTGTAACATTTAAAATCCTTCTAGGTTGAAGGAGAGGGGTGACGCCTCTTCGGATCGCTTCTGTAGTTTGGGGTATTTATTAACCGTGTTAAGGCTGCCTCGAGCATGCCAGGTCTGGACTCTCCTTCCTCCGGTGATCTGTCTCTTTCGTGGATGCCTGAGTTCATTTCCAGGTCTGGGATCCCCTTCCTATAGTGATCTGTTTCTTTAGTGTGTGCTTGAATCTAGTGTAACATTTAAAATCCCTCTAGATTAACGGAGAGGGGTGACGCCTCTTCGGATCGCCTCTGGAGGTTGGGGTATTTATTAACTCTGTTAAGGCTGCCTCGAGCATGCCAGGTCTGGAATCCCCTTCCTCTGGTGATCTGTGTCTTTAGTGTGTGCTTGAGTTCATTTCCTGTACGAGTGTAACATTTAAAATCCCTGTGGATTGACGGAGGGAGGTGGCACCTCTTCGGATTGCCTCTGGAGGTTTGGTATTTATTAACCGTGTTAATGCTGCCTCGAGCATGCCAGGACTGGGATCTCCCTTCCTCTGGTAATCTTATCTCTTTAGTGCTACGTGTACCTAACTGAAATTTAACTCTGCGAGATACATATTGTTCCATTCCTTCCATATGTGTTTTATTTACTCTAGAAAAGAAGAATGAGAGAATAGCAATGAAAAGCACTGCTTCACTTGGGAAATAACAAATGTATACACAGCTCTAACGAACTGAAACAAAAAGATACAGATGTTTTTTTTTCATCTCTACTCTAAAGAGAATGCAGAATGCATCCAATTGTTGAATGGGAATTCATTAGAGTTGTATATGCCTCGTCTGTGAAGCAGGTGAAATGTGAATTGAACATCACTTTTTCATCTGACATTCAACTCGAAAACATTGTTCGGCTTTTTTACATTTGTTCTGTCAACTGTAAACCAGATGCGTAGCAGAATTCCGTCGAAACATATGCTTCATTGTCTCTACAAAAGGGTACATGTCGTATTTGCAAATAAAAATTAAATAATAACGGACTATATCATTTGTTATATTTTATTAGCTGTCATGTCTCTCTCACATAAATACAATTTCTTTTGATCTTACATTGTTAAAATCTACGTTGTTCTAATAAGGTATCGCAGATTTATTACTTCTATTGGCAAAGAGAAAAGAATTTTTGTAAGAGTCATAATCACCAGAAGCGATCGTAGATAGAACATTTACGATGACTAGTGCAATGAGCCTTCTCTGCCAGCTGTTGCTATCCATCCGTACGTAAAAATTATTCATTTTATATAGCAGTAGTTATATTAAATATTTTTAACTTTTATTACGATTTTTGTTTAAAATTAAGTTATAAAATAACTATTCCCTAGTTCTCCGATGAAAACATGCAAACATATTTTAATGTGCATAACAGTCAATAAAGTAATACGATATATTGATCCTTAAATATTAAACTCATTAAATTGAAATTAAGTGAACTTTTAAAGAATAATGTAATATTTAGACTGTCACTAAATAGTTCCCCCGGGGGCTCGACAGAGAAAAACGCTGGCGTTCTGGCTAGGTCAAAATCTAGACAGACTCGATTTCTGGAGGAAAATTAACAGTCTTCACAGTGACTAGAACCATCGTTTATCTCGGTGGTGGGTTCAGGCTTGGAAGGAGCCATATGGTACTTACTGTCTTGTCTATTGCTTGGTTGTGGGGACGTCACATGGTTTGCTACCGAAGGTTGTCCTTAGGGGTTTGGCTTGCCTTGATCAACTCTGGAGGATGGTCGATGTGGTGGATGCGTTGCCGTCCACCCTGTCCTGTTCTTTGTGCTAAAATCCAGACTTGGATGCTGAAATCTTCCTTGGATCGTCTCTAGGGGCAGGGGCGTTTAACTGTGTAAGGCGGCCACATGAACTAGTCAGGTGTGGGTGCCCCTTCCTTCTAGTGGACTGTCACTAAATAGTGTCAGGTATAAATTAGTAACCGATGTTTTTACATCTTTCCTTGAAATAATAAGATTTTACAATGACCTCACAGTAAAACCAACTGTGTAATGTTTCATATTAAGCCGACTCTTCTATTTTCTGTCAGGAGATTGTAATTTCGAATACGGTCAACTCAGGTATAAAGACTTAAGGATACAATGACCATAAAAAAAGAAAATGTAAATTTTCAGAATGTGTTAACTATAATATGATAAAAAACAACGTACGCCTATATTTGGTTTTAACTTGCACTGGTACAGAAGAAAGTTCAGTTCAAATGCTGCCAATGGATTGCTAACAATGATGGAGCAGAAAACGTTGAGTGAAAGTCATTAAAATTGATCATTTAACATGGAGTGAAGATAAACAGATGCAAAATAACTTGTTGATGAAGACACTTTTCAATGAGTTTTCCTGCATTTACATTTCTACCATTCTTAAATTTAACATGTCCGAAGGTTCTTGAATGCATTTGGAACTTCCATTCATTTCTCCTTATTCAGGGAATAAATTTCGAATGCATTTTTGAGAAATTTTTTGAATATTGCTAAAATCCGCTTCATTTTATTTTTCAAATACTGGAGTACTTACAATTTTCTCTAAGAAACACAGTTGTTTTTTATCATATCCAGATGAATGATATTCTGTCAAAGCATGAATTTTTTTACTAATAGTAAATAAAAAACGTTGCATTGAACAGCAGATTTATTATTTTTAAAGATTGTTGGCCAAACCCACATCAAGAGATCCCTTCCTTAAGAATACTCAACCCTGCCAGAATCATAAAAATTTAGGCTTATGTATTTAATTACTATCACAACACACAAATAAGGTTTTAAATAATTTAATATAAAGGTATACCTATGTAGTATAATATTCGTAATGTTTGTATCTGTTGTATGTATAATATCCGTAAAGTATATATATAACATTCGTATTGTTTAAATTTTAGTATAAAAATAACATTCACAAATTGTTTTCAATGAATCTAAAATTAAAATATATTACTTTTAAAAACAACCTATAAGAGTAAAGCTTAAGGACATTATGGAAATTTGACCGAAAGCATAAGTGAACATGAATGGAATTTTCGACCTAAAAGGTATGAATTTGTAAACATCATGAACAAGCGTGCAATCTTTTCGAATCCTTCAAACCTTTGTACATACCTACAAATTTTTAATTTAGATGTTTCGCATGATTTACGCTCTAGTGTACATATGTTACACATGAAATTTGAATATATTCATATGATTGGTCGCCCTATATTCGCATATTTGTTTATAATTATCCTATATTATGAGGATTTACGTAAATTATTGGTAACTTTTTTCCGTATATTTATCGACTGCTGAAATTTCTCTAAATATTTTACTTTCTATGAACGTATGCTTGGAGAAAACATTTCCTTGAATCTCCCCCACATTTTACTGCGCCTATACGTACACTTTTGGTACATCTCCCCTAATATTTTTCTTTGCGTGTACGCATAACATTTTTAAACAAATAGTTAAAGTTTCTGTAGTGTTTACAAATGCATAAATGAGCATTTTCTTAAAGTTACGTAAATCTTTAACTATATTTTCACTGTGTCTATATATACATATTTCGTAAAACCTACATATATATATATACAAATTATTTATCCGTATTTTTGTACTTATTTCTTTTGAAAATATACGCAGATAATATATGTACATTATGATGAAGTTATGAAAACGTGTTTTACGCGTCACAATCAAATTGTGAAAACGCCGTTTTAAATACATGTTATTTTGTATATCTGCGTGTTCATTTATGTATTGGGGAAATTGAATATGCATTAAACGCATTTATATTTTTAAATTACTCAAAACACACCATTTGTGACTTTTTCCATGTGTTAAATGTGATGACCTAAAAGAAGAAACAGGGAAATATTTCAAGGGTTAAAGCAGCTTATATTATTTTCGTAAAAGATGTGAAGTTAATATTGTAGATTTTGCATTATTAAAGTCATTATTTTACATCATCACTGTGACGAAAAATCTTTTTGAATTCATATTTAATGTGCCCTGAATAACTGAACAATTATTAGCAAAATCTATAATAAAACATGACTTAAGAAGCAAAACAATGCTAAATGAGACACCTTTTCAAAAATATATGACTCCTGCTTTAAGAATTTTGTTGAAAATAAACCTGTAATTTTCTTTCTTAATAATGCAGCTATTAATATATTCCAATCTTGATACTGTACCTATTTCAAGTATTATTTTTTTCTAACGGTTAAAATTTGTTTTAGTTAGATAAATCTATAGTTTGATGTTATAAAATGATCATGATTAACATCATGACCATTTGAGAAAAACAGCAAGCAAAAATGTTAAGCAAACGTTTTACAGTTATAAATTTCTACTATCATGCAATAAAAAAAACGAAAACACCTTGCAGATATACATAATAAATTTAAAATTTTATCTAAATACTAAGATAATTTATATCATGTTTAAGCTTTAGATACCAGAGTCACAATTTTTGCAATTAAATGCCAGGAAAAGTATATAAATGAACAACATGGCGGAGAGCAAATTTAACTTTTTAATTTTGGGGTCGATTACTCGAATATGGCAAAGCATACAATGGGTTTGAAGGTGGGATGTGTTCTTGGAAGACTCCCTAAGAAAAACTAGCTTTTACTCATGTTACACTGGTAGAAAAACACGAAAACCAATCATGAATCTTTTGCCTGGGTTCGAACTCGGGCCGAACTCCTAGTAATCGGCGGTCTTAACTGGTTGGCCACTGGTGGGACTATTTTGCTTCAATAAGATCCGAAATGAAATATTATACGAAACTGCAACCTCTTCATTTGCTAGAAGAATTTAAGGATAAGTATTTTAACAAAAATCTTAGGATTTAAAAAAAGCTATAAATTTAAAGCTTAAAAACTTTCACACCGTTTCAAAAATTCAGTTTCATTAAGAAGAAAATTCCGTCTTGTTTATAAACGTACCTTGATGTCTCCCAGAATCCTGCAGATGTTTGCTTAAAAATTAAGTTTATAAGGTACTTCTCCCGCCTTCTTAGCATGACTTCGTAGTGTAGTGGTCAGCAAGCTTGACGCGTATTCGAGAGGTCCCTGGTTCGAGTCCCGGCGAAGGCGTTGCTCATTTTTCACATCTCCTGCTTTCATGCTTCAAAAATACCTAATGTCTCTACAGTGGCGCCCGAACTAAAATGTGGTAAATGAGGATTCTTCACCACCAGGATTTGGCGATTAAGTTCCCTATAACCCAGTCGCTCTTTAAAAGGGGAGTATATAAGGTAGTTCTCCCGCCTTTCTTGTAGTGTAGTGGTAGCATGCTCGACGCGTAATCGAGAGGTTTGTGGTTCGAGTCCCGGAGAAGACGTTGCTCATTTTTCACATCTCCTGCATGTAAAATATCCTAATGTCGCTACAAGTTCATATTACGTATTGTTTACTACTACGTCAACCACCACACACGCAGTAAATATATGTTTCAGTATATGATGATAACTAAATCATACAAAATATTTTTTGCACATAAAATTTAAAATAATTTAAATTACTGCACCGGTTTTATTTTATATGAGCCAATATTACCTTGTGTTTACTTAAACGCAAATATTAAAACCAATTTAATACGACTGTCACAGTTCGGAACGCTCATCTTCTACGCCACTTACCTCGATTCTTTCCTAGTGCCATAAATGACACCAGATGCGTAACGATTCTTGCGATTACAAAGGCAAAGGGCCTATTTTTTATTCTCACAATCCAAGACCTCCTACGAGGAACACACGTTATTTACCATTCATTCTAAAGCTCCTTAAAAGCTGTGTAGTTTCTCCGGGAAGAGCTGCTTAGGCAGTAAAGCCCATAAATAGCACTCTAGTGTCACAGTACTAAAACCGTATTTACACAGGACATTTTATGAAATAATTTAGTATTGTATTTACATATATGACTATTTTAAACGTTTTTATAAATCAGAAATCAATACACAGTTAACAATAATATAAGTAAATATCTTTTGAATCAGGCTATAACTCTTGAATTAAGATAACAATGGTGTTTCAGTATGTAATATAAAATAATTCCGGTTTTTAATATTTACATTAATCTTAAGCAAAATATACAAGCAAACAAAATTAGCATAAATAAGTGCAAAACTGAATATGATCCTGCAATCAATATTGAAAATATCAGGTAGAATAATGGATTTTTAATTCTTTCCTTCAAAAACCAGTTTTAATTCAAAGCATGCATGTTTTGAACATCTCAAAGCAAGACTGGCTTTGTTTTCACTAAACAGATTCCCTGTGCTTAAAAAACATCAAGGACTTATTTCACTTGTTGGAAATATGCAAGTGATCCAGTGAAAGAATGCGATAATGGCTTGAAATAATTATTTACTTTCATTGATAAATGAAATTTTCGTGTAACATTAATTTCTGATGAAATAATACCATATAAAGTTCTTTCCTACAATTTTACAGTTCTGTTTTGAAAAGGGCATTTAAAATACAGGGTGTTACAAAAGCAATGACCCGATTTCAAGAAATCATGATGATTCAGATTTTAAGGAGACGGTGGACTTTAAAATAACTAAAAATCTACCAAAATATTGAATTTGGTTTTTTACTCTCATAATATTTCATGTAAGTAACTACATGGTATGCCAAAAACCGAGTTTAAATATTCTAATTTTTAAAGAAGTTACAAGCATTTAAAATGTGTAAATAACGTAAACTTTGCCCTTTAAATTTTTGAGAAAATTTTTAAAAATGTATTTCAACAGTTATTCACTGATGTAATAATTTATATATTTGCTCAAAAGAAGGGCTTATTTCTAAAAAAAAGCCTAGAAATGTCAGGTATTGACAACTATCAATTGAATTTAACTTTGGTTATGTGAATGCTATACGCGTAGAACATGAAAAAACAAACTCGTTTTTCCCTATTCGTTACAAAAAAAGCGTGATTAACGTCGCTTGAACCAAAGCAAAAAGGGAAGTTTACCTGCTTAGAAAAAAAAAAAAAAAAGAAAAAGTAAAAAATATTGTAAAGCATTAAAAGATAATACAAATGTAACAAATGAAGGTAAAATATATGAAGAAAGTGAATTTTAAAAGTTTCATTGGATATAATGCGTAAATTGTTTCTACCCCTAACTTCGATTCACATACCAATTTGTGATATGTTTATTTGTCTCATATTCAATATTATGAGATTAAAATAGTTAAATGATACGAACTGTTTACTGTACATATTGATATTTAAAGTTAATTTGCTGTTTCACATGACCATGTATTAAAGGTTAGTTTGAAGAAAAACTTTAAATTCGGTTTTTTCAAAACAAAATTTTTCGCAGTTCGTATGTCTTGAAAATGCTCCATGCGTCTCATTTTTAGTTAAAAATGAATGATATTTGGTAGAAACTATCTTGTTATATGTTACAGTAGATCTATGTATGCATTTTTGGATATGAGGTGATTAAGAAGTTTAAACTTGTGATAATGTTTAACAAAAGGTGACATTTTTCAGAAAACTGGGTTTAAGTTTATAAATCCTTTTTAAAAATTTCTGCTCCATCATGTCTAATAACGGATACACAAAACCTTTTGTGAAGTCTTCATAACTAACATAAAGGAAAAATTAGGGGGAAATATTGAAAATTAGCTCGTAAGGAGCATTTTAAATATTTAATTAAATTTATTAATTATTTGTTTTAAAATTTTCAATTTAAAATAAATTGAAATTTTGATCATATATTTTATAAACTGACGTTATAATACGTGTATGTATAAAATTTCTTGTTGAAAGCACAAAAACTTAAAAAACTAATTTTTAAAGTATACAGTCCCCTTAACCAGTTTTGATCGAATAATGTATCGGTAGAAAATTAAAAATCTCTAGTTTCATGTAGTTGTTTCATGCAGTGTTCTTTTAAAATTTAACACAGAGAGGCTACAAATATATAAACAAAAGAGATATAATATTGGAAGGCAACTGACTCGATGACGAATTAGCCCAAAGACGAAACGGCATGACGGCGAAACGACCACAGTTAATAAGTCCATTCCGTAAGCTTCCTGCATGGCCGGTTTCATTTTTTTTTTTTTTCCATATCAAAGTGATTAAAAGCTAGTTTACCCTAGATTGTTACTTCATAAACCCATTCCTCTCCTTAGGTATATAGTCTTAGTATGAACAAAACGTGACAAATATGAAACAAATACCTAACTGAAAAAATTGTAGTCGATCTGTTAGCCCTTTGACTACTAACGGAACATATATGTCCCACCAAAGGTTTAAGAAGGAGACGGAGCGAATCAAAATTCATTCAAGAGAACAATTCATTCGGGAGAAGGAGAGAAATGATAATCACTTGAATGCTGGGATCATCTTCCAATAGTTGTAAAATTAAGACGCCACGGTACTCGTTGAACACAAATGAACATAAAGAAAATATCAAATATGAGTTAAACCAATGTGTAATTTTAGGTTATGCAAAGAATGCTTTATCTTGTACCATACGATGTAAATCTATTTCATATAATAAAGTCTTCCAGAATATTAAATGTGCTTATAATACGTCTATCGCTACGTGTGGAACATTACGTATATCCCATCATTAACTACGGCTGGATCATATATGCCCCAGGCTTTTAGCTTGAAGGCCGTTAGTCAAAAAAATACCAAACGATAAATTTACCTTATTTATGACGTATTTTGCTTACTTGGACAGAAAAGGAATAAAAAAAAATTTTTTTTTTTTTTTGATTCGTTGTCAAAAGGTTAAGTGGAGTAAGTGATTCAATAAAAAAATCCGTCTGACAAAGTTCCTCTTTTACATATACTTTGAATTTTAACCTTGTTAATGCCTAGCACCAATGCAACTATTTTATAATATGTTTCTAAAATAAACTAAATGTTTTCTTTCAGATCCCAGACCAGAAATATACGTGCCAAGGAACACAGATTGCCTAGCGTCATCCACCAAAATTTTCCTTCAACCTGACGCTTGCTTGACATCCGCATGTTCCGAATCAGGTTTCATTTAACATGCTTTCTTATTAGTTCCTAATAATGTGTAATAAGAAGTAATAAGCATGCCTTTTTTATTCCAGATAAAAACACTTTAAAATATTTCTGTGTGTTTCTGGGAAGTTTCAAAGGAAGGTTGTGCATAATCACTTTAAAATGTTTCAAATGAAATTTACTCAATTTTTACACATTTATTATAGAGTTATATACAGCACTAGTTAAAATCAAGTTTTTATTATTAACTTAGTTTACAAATTGCTAGTGTTACTGTTGAAGTCAGCCCGTACTTTTGGGTGGGCAAGGGAAGGAATGAAAATACCGAACATTTCGCGTATGAGACCAAAACCACAGCAGGATTTAAAACCTATTCCTCTGATAACTATAAAAATATTTGTATTTCCAAGTAAAACACGTTTGATTTACTTACCTACTTTAGACAATGATAGAGTATAGCCAACAGTTACTCAAAATGGGTACGAACATCATAGCTCTAACAAAGCTGTATGTTAACCGTATCATGCCAATGCGAAAAACTTTTAAACTGACTGAAACGTAAAATTAACCAGGCAATGGCAAAAGTTTGAAACTTCACGATGCATAACATTTGCTTCTATTTCAAGCCTTAAACACCTGATTAAATACCTTCAAACAGTTGTCCTAAAGGGAACAGCAATGATGATTCGATGCTGCTGTTACTGCTCATGAAATCTGCACTCAGCTGTTCTCTAAAGGGAATAGCAATGATGATTCGATGCTGCTCATGAAAACTGCACCCAGCTGTTCTCAGTATTACAATAATTTCAAACAGTTATTTACAATACCTTCAAACAGTTGTCCTAAAGGGAACAGCAATGATGATTCGATGCTGCTGTTATTACTCATGAAAATTTTACCCAGCTGTTCTCAGTATTACAATACCTTCAAAGAGTTACTTACAATACCTTCAAACAGTTGTCCTAAAGGGAACAGCAATGATGATTCGATGCTTCTGTTACTGCTCATGAAAACTGCACTCAGCTGTTCTCTAAAGGGAACATCAATGATGATTCGATGCTGCTGTTACGGCTCATGAAAACTGCACTCAGCTGTTCTCTAAAGGGAACAGCAATGATGATTCGATGCTGTTGTTACTCCTCATGAAAACTGCGCCCAGCTATTCTCAGAATTACAATACCTTCAAAAAGTTATTTACAATACCTTCAAACAGTTGTCCTAAAGGGAATAGCAATGATGATTCCATGCTGCTGTTACTGCTCATGAAAACTGCACCCAGCTGTTCCAGTGTTACAATACCTTCAAACAGTTGCCCTAAAGGGAACAGCAATGATGATTCGATGCTTCTGTTACTGCTCATGAAAACTGTACCCAGCTGTTCTCAGTATTACAATACCTTTAAAGAGTTATTTACAATACCTTCAAACATATGCCCTAAAGGAAACAGCAATGATGATTCGATGCTGCAGTTACTGCTCATGAAATCTGCACCCAGCTGTTCTCTAAAGGGAACAGCAATGATGATTCGATGCTGCTGTTACTGCTCATGAAATTTGCGCCCAGCTATTCTCTGTATTACAATACCTTCAAAGAGTTATTTACAATACCTTCAAACAGTTGTCCTAAAGGGAACAGCAATGATGATTCGCTGCTGCTGTTACTGCTCATGAAACCTGCACCCAGCTGTTCTCAGTATTACAATACCTTGAAACAGTTATTTACAATACCTTCAAACAGTTGCCCTAAAGGGAACAGCAATGATGATTCGATGCTGCTGTTACTGCTCATGAACACTGCACTCAGCTGTTCTCTAAAGGGAACAGCAATGATGATTCGATGCTGCTGTTACTGCTCATGAAAACTGCGCCCAGCTATTCTCAGTATTACAATACCTTCAAAGAGTTATTTACAATACCTTCAAACAGTTGTCCTAAAGGGAATAGCAATGATGATTCGATGCTGCTGTTACTGCTCATGAAAACTGCACCCAGCTGTTCCAGTGTTACAATACCTTCAAATAGTTGTCCTAAAGGGAACAGAAATGATGATTCGATGCTTCTGTTATTGCTCATGAAAACTGTACCCAGCTGTTCTCAGTATTACAATACCTTCAAAGAGTATTTACAATACCTTCAAAGAGTATTTACAATACCTTCAAACAGTTGTCCTAAAGGGAACAACAATGATGATTCGATGCTGCTGTTACTGCTCATGAAAACTGCGCCCAGCTGTTCTCAGTTTGTTCTATCATATATATCTCCTCAAAAACTTTATTCTATCTAGGAAACAAATTTTAAAGTCATGTGTTTTTTATAATGGCCTGTTACCTAAATATTTAAAAAGTATTCATGAAACTGAAGCTCACGATTCCTAATTTTTGCTGTTTATTTGTATCATCGAAATCTCTTTTGTTACATTTAACATTTTTCGGTATGGATTAACAAGAGCTGTAAAAAAAATCGTCGCTTTGATTCCTGTAACACATTCCTGTACATGTCTGATTAACAATTTTGATTTACCTCATGCTAACATGATGATCTCGTCCATAACATGCTCATCTCTTCCAAATGATTGTGTGTATACTAAATCTTTCTTCTTTATTCTGGCACTAATAATGAAAGGGTGAGTTTTTTTTAAATCTTGAATTTAAGATGCATTAAATAATGCATAATTTTCTGGTTTTCACTTTAAATAAGCCACTTTTAATAATCTTCTCGGAATAGACATGATGACTTTTGATTATCCTTTTTAAACAAATAGTGGCGTCATGGCACGAGAACAGGATGCATTTCAAAAAAATCTTTCAATGTCCAACTTCGATTTTAAACAGATTTTTTTTTACCGATATAAAACTATGAATAGCATTTGGTCTGTTATTTTAAGAATTTAAATATTTTAAAATTTACTGTCCAAAATTATTAGTCCAAAGGGTCAATTTGCCCCGAAGGACTACTAAATTCGTTTTGGCATTTTTCGTTGATTCACTTTTCAAATTGTTGCCACTAAATATTATCGCCCTGTATTATATTTAAAGAAATTAAATAATGAATAATTTCAATAAATATATATATGTTTCTCGCACTGTGATAAAACAACGGTACATCCAATTTTGAATAACGTAATCCTCCTGCGAATATGGGCATCTGGAAGCCAAAATTTGAAATTTGGAATTTGTTTTATTATTGATTTCATATTTTGTAAAGCTTTAACGAATTTTTGAGTAACGAACTCAAGGATTTCAAAGCAAGCAATGGTAACGTTGTACAGAAAAAAAAACATTTTTATCTCCAGCGCACGAGACTGTGTATCGGAAATTCTAAAAAAAAAATGCTCATGTTAAAATTATTTTGCGATATTGCTTTTGAACTGAATTTTATGGTTTGAGTACGTAGAACATGATATTTAATAAATAAAGGTAATACACAAAATGTTAAAAAAACGCCCGTTTGGGCGTAATTTAAAATCTGAAAACTTTTAGACTTTTTTTATAACTTTTTTTAATTTCCGCTTTGTAATTTGCTTTCAGACAGGCATTTTCAACATAGGTTTTTTATTTGTTTTATTGTTAATAAAGCTGTTCATTACTTTTGTATTATATTAAATTTGAGGTCGCCGTAGTCAATGGGTAAATGTTGGCTGGAAAGCAGAGGGGGCGAGAAATCGGGGGGCAGAAAAAGCAGCGACAGTTTTAAATATAAGAAATATAAGGCCTGAAAGAGTTGCTCAGAATTCAGGTAAGTAGCTGGGGAATAGCAATTGTCTTTTTTGAAACGATAAAAGCTTGATAATGAGGAAGACGAATTAAGGCTAAAGAGATATACCGTCCCAAGAACAAAAGCAAGAAGAAGAAAAGAAACACAAAAAACGCGCTCGGAAAAGCACCTTTGCCGTTCATTTTCTCAGGAGCTCTGAAAAGCGAGCTGAGAATCGTACACGACAGATGAGTTTCTCAGAGAGTTCTGAACGGCAGATGGAACTGTGTACAACAACTATGAATCCTCTCGAGAAGACCAAAAAAAAAAAAAAAAAAAAAAAAAAAAAAAAGACCAACGAGGTAAAGGACCAATATGGAATTCCAGGATTGGTGATGGAAGAACATGATGATTGTAACTAAGTGGAAAAACAATTGACAAGCTAAAACTTACATGAAATTCAGGTTCCTTATATTTCGTGTGAAATATAATGTTACAATTAAGGTAATATTAACGCATAAGTTTATCATAAACACTTGCTAAATTGCTGCGGCTACTCCAATTAAGCGTAAGCTATTAATTTGATATAGCGCCAGTAATTCTGGAAATTCATATGTGAAAGTTATGTGTTTCTATGAAATGGTACGGAGTGCTTTAAGGAAAGATCATTTATTAATTGTAAATAACATTCATTTCTGCAATGGTAGTTTGAAAGTTTAAAGCTTGTTTAGGAAAAATATTAGTCTGTAAGGTCAACACTTGTAGCTAAGATATCGCCCGTTTTGGGGCTGACATTAGGATACTTTGAATTGCTAGAGTATAGGCTTAGCATTAACATGTCAGTACAAACTAGTGTGGATTATGGGTAATGGTGTACGGTAACATGATATGTGCGCTTTTGTTTCACCTTCACAATTATAATAGTCGTAAAGAAGTCAGCACAGATTGCTTATAGTTATTTTGTAAAGAATAAATATATTTTAGTGAAATAAAAAATATTATTGTATCTAGATACTATCCAATTTTTTCCCTTCACTGGAAGGATTTGAAAAAGGTGAAGCATCCTTAGATTTTTGAAACTGTAATGGATATAAAACTGGATCAGAATATAAGCAGTTAGTGCTAAATATTTCACGAAGTTTCTAAAACACTATAATCAAAGTAGTATTTTTTCCTTCTAGAACCGGCGAGTGTGAATTTCATTTGACCAACAGTTAAATTTTTGTCGATTCTTTCCTGTATGCTTCATTCTTATATGTACTTATTTTATTGCTAAACCTGACATTCACATGTAAACTTCAATTACATAATTCAAATATTAATGAAATTTTCTGTTGCAGGTCTTTCAGAAGCTGCTGAAAAGCCATTGGACATATATCGTGTGCTGCCACTTTTCAATGTCTCATCAGATTCTTACGTTTGTCTGACACCTGGATGCGTTAAAGCAGGTAATTTTCAAGTATGTTTTTTTTTGGGGGGGAGGGGGTCATTTCTGTATAAAATGGATAGTAAAGATCCTTGTATCCTTTCCTGCGAGAGATATTGCTATTTAAGACATGTTGTATTCGTAAAGACTACTGAGAAATGTGGGCTATAATTTGTCTAAGGTTTCTTAACGGATGTTGCCAGCAAAGTCAATCGGTAGTGAAAAATCTTAATATCATTAAACGACATGAAAAGTTAAGAAGGCATGTATTCTTCAATGCGTTTATTTATTTTTTACCATTTTTATTTGAATTTCACGAATCAAAGAATGAACTCTATATTTTGTCTAATATATCTTAATTAAAAATAGAAAAACAGCAAACAAAAAAAAATTGAATCTATTAAATTTATTCATACATATAATGCTGTTACATGTATTTCGTGATTTCATGTACTGAAGATAATTAATTTGTCTTTAGAACTTCTTCCGTCTTTCTGTTCAGCATTACTCAATCGTTGAAGCAAACTGATACGGAATGTTGACTAATACACTCCTTATTTAATTTTGAATTTAATTTACATATTTAAATTATATCTGATCCTTGCTTTGTTGTGAACTCCATTTTTACTTCCATGTACGAAGTGAAAAAGAAGTATTGTAATCGCGAAAAGTTTGAGGCAGCATATTTCAACGAAAATATCCCTTTTGACCGCTATCGAATGCAAATTAACGATGTTTTTACGTGAGATCTGTACGTAAGGACAGAATAAAAGACTCTTTTAACTGGTTTAAAATGAATTCTGAAGAGAATTTTTCATGGCGTCTGTATGAACGTATTTACGTACGTATCTCACATAACTCAAAAACGAGTAGCCTCAGAACGTTGAAATTTTGCATACAGGACTGCTATAACATACCTCGTATTTTGGTTGCAATCGGCTGCACCAGACGTATATAAATATATTTATATGGTTAAAATTACATAATCGGGATGAGCGCCAAGCTTGGCGAGAGTTTTTTATCTGGAGCGATTTTAATTTGGTTGTGGTTTCCTGCTGTATGTTTTCTGTGGCAAACCTAGAGCTTTATTTCGGTAAATGTAAGAGAGCGAATTTAGTGTAGCCAGATTTTTTGTTTAAATTTAATTTTGAAATGCTGTATTTGTTTTTATAAGTTTTACTGTTTAATATTATTGTTATATATATGTTTAATATTATATTTATATAAATATTTGCAGAGGGAGAAGGTTAAGCTGTTGTTGGTGGGAGAATGTTGGATTTCATATGACATGAAGTTTATAATTTATGAATGTTTTCATTTAATATTATTTATTTATTCATTTATTTATTTAGTTTTGTTTCTTGCATGTGGCAATCAAAAGATATGGAATATTTAAAGCTTTGAACGAAAGTTGTTTAGTGTGTTGAATTCCACGACGATAGTAACTTGAATATTTTAGTTAGTTTATGATGATGAATACGTATAATTTGCTATTCTGTTTACGTTTAAAACTGACTTCGCTGTGCTCTGATCTGATAAGTATATACATTTATTTACGTAATAATTACTTACAAGAATTGTTCATTCTACTATTTTATGATGAATTTACATATATATAGGACTATGCTTTTACTTGCAAAGCTGTTGGACTTCGTTTTACTCATCTAGTATTTTATCATCTCATTTTACTATTCTGTTTACATAAAATAACGGCGTTTCACTACTGCAAAACTTAAAAGTTACTATTCTGTTGACGTTTAAAAATCACATTTTAGTGCTTTCATTGCCGCCTAAAAAATTCGTCAAATTTTGAAGGCCAAAATAGTTTGGCGCTAACTTACCCCGCTTATGAAATTTTAGCCATTTATATATATATTTATTTTCCATTTACCAATTCTGTTTTGATCACTCTCTTGTTATACATAGTAATTAACTTTGATTTAAAAATTTGATATCGTGCAAATTATAATTTTTCCTTTCCCTTTTCAGCTGCCGAAATCTCAGCTAATTTAGATGAGAATGTGAGCCCATGCGATGACTTCTACCAATTCGCCTGTGGTGGCTGGATGGATAGACATTCAATTCCTGACGATAGTTCATCAGTTAGCGCCCATTCTAAACTTGTGATCACGCTCAATAATAAACTCAGATGTTAGTAAATATGTTTAATTCTATTATAAGTGTATAACTGGAAACATATATATTTCATCGCACAATTATCAAGATGTGTAGTTTTTAAATCACTAAGAAAAATTTTAAATTTTCAGGTCTCCTCTTAAAAATTTATGGTTGTTTGTTTTACTCTTTCGCATCGACAGAGGCCAAAACCTGTTCTGAAGCGTTCCTTCACAAGCTGAAGCACCCGTGCATATGAATTTCTATTGGAATGGATTTCCTTACCCCTGCGTAGTAGACTACTACAGCATTAACGAAACACATTTAAGTGCAGTGATTACTTCTCTCTTGGGGATCTCTGTGCGGTTTCACCCACTCTGTGCAATTTTTCCTTAGGACAAGATTGCAATAGCGAGTATGAATAGTTAAACGCTGACGCTTAAAAAAGGAGAGGGAAGATGCATTCAAATAAGAAAGCCACAAATAAGAGAACTACAGATAAGAGAGCTACTAAGAGATTCAAATAAGAGGGCAATAGGATTCAACTAAGAGAGATACTACTTCAAAAGAATGATTGGCACTAAATTTAAAAACTCTCGAAAACAATGAACCGTGCACTAACATGATGGAGGAAAGCATTGGGTAGAAAATGGACATAGGCGTTCGGGCGACCTGCCAATGTCTGAATGCACGGGCGTTACAGGCGATTTAATTGTGAACGTTAAATAAAAGGTTGAGATAAGCAATTAAGGAAATAAAAAATACGTTATATATTAGGAATGATATATGCATACCTGTTAGACGAATGTACTCCTCCTATATTCCGATTCTTATACTGCTTGTTAAGACATGTTGCGAAATGCATGGCAATATGTTACTATTTTAATTACTAATACGTTCAATATTTCTAACTTTAATATTCATGTTAAGATATATTTAAAAAGAACAACTTAAGATATATGTATATGATCATTGGCAATTACACCACATTAAACACTTAATAAAAAAATATCTATAATGTAATATTTTAGCACCTGGTAATCCCAATGGTATAGTACTGACTGCCTTTCATTGCATGGAAAAGGAATACTTAATAATTTAATTTTGGACGCATTAGCTTAGAAGTAATTTACACCAGCTGTTGAGTGTAGCTGAATTATAACGAAATATTTCGCAATTTCTTCAGAAGCAGAAGAAAACTGAATTTTATCTTTAGTTTATATTTGAAAATTTGGTTCCATGACATTTCAGTAATATTATTTAACATATATTCAGTACTTTGTATAAGTTATGTAATTGTGCTTTGTTTCCTGAAATAGAGGTATGGATACTAAATCTCGACCATTTGTCTGTTTCCAATAAACAAGAAAGAATCTAAGTGCAGTATTCTTAACATAAGTATTATTAATTATTTTCTAGCGCTCTTAGAAAGGGAATTGACGGGAACGGAACCTGACTTCATTCAGAAGCTGAAGCAACTGTATGACACTTGCATGGAGATTCGTAAGTTTCATTTCTTAATTAAACCTTCATAAATGGTCTATACTTCAAAACATTTTATTTTATGTATATGTAGGTTATTAGCATAAATTATCAATCGTGGACCCCTCATTAAAGAGAAATACGAAACATCAGTAAGACTGTGAATGGAAAACAATGTCTTAATTTAATGAATGGATATAGATATAAAATTCTATAAGATTGTATAAGTAACATAGAGCAGTAAACTGCATACAGGTGTAAAAGAAATATCAGTTGGTATCAGTGCGATTCAGTTTAGTTGATGATGAATAGGTGTTTCATTCATCGTCAATTGTCCTGAAATCGCACACTGCACCAAATTTGCCATCCGTTATATTACAATTACAAAATAATAGATAAAATATGCACAGTAACTCCCAACGTAAAGTATTTTTTTAATTTCCATAGTATACTATTTTCCTTAATTTAGCTGAACTGCTTCCTAGCACAGCTAACTAATGGGAGTCTACGGACTTGCTGTAATGTAGTGGTCGAATGAGCTACCCACAGCTCCTTTTGCAATCTAGACTTGAAATAAACTTTTAACTCAAGCTCTAACAATAGCATGAATTTTAATAAAAAAAAAACTTTACCACAAACTAACCAACCTTGCCACAATGTTTTAAACGTTTAAGAACGAGAAAGCAGTTTCTTTTATGTATCTGTGAATATAGATATTGGCGCAAACGATATTATTCTAAAGTAAGATTGAACAGTGTCACTACGCCTAATTTACAAAAATAAATAAGAATTTAAAATCAGAATTAGTAAACTAAACCAGAATTTTGAAATGTTAATTATTTCCTTCGCTTGGAGCTTAGTTGCATTCTAGAAGTCATTCTCCGTTATTTAATTTAGAGATAAATGCCACGAAACATTACTGTCAGTTATGCTTTCATTACTGTTTGATTTTTATGGAAAAAATAGAATTATTTCTTGAGTCTGATGACATAGACTTTTTCAATCTCTCTTTCATTCTGACAAATTTATTCCAATATTTATGTTGCTCACTATATAGAAAAAGATGCATTTTCACGAAAATAGTGATTGCTGTTTGCTTTCTTAGTGTTTATAATATTAAACAAGGAATTAAAAAGGTCAAGCATATCAACCACTATTCAATATTTTATTAAATACGGAAGGGTAGCAAGAAAACTTCTAAACGACACGAAATTAGAAAGAAATAAATCACAATCTGACGGACACCGTCAATCCATGCGTAGATTAGTGAATCCGGATATCGACAAAAGCCGCCAATAACGAACAATCTGCGAACTCGCGTTGTTTAGGAATGGCATACGTTATGAGAGAAGTCATGAAGCTGTGCAAACTGAACGAATTTTGGTAAAGTTGTAAGATTCTGTACTGTGTACTTTTAAGTTACAGTTGAATTTGAAGAATCTTAAGAACTGGTAAGCGACTAATTGTTTGAGTTCGTGATATAGAAACAATACGTAAGAAGGGTGAAATTACCCTTTATTATTCCAATAAAGTTTAACAGAACTCCGCCTTGGAGTTTTACAATAAAGCCTCCACTCGGCCTTGAACTTAGAAAACTAAGAACTAAACTTAACTAATCTTAACTAAAGGGATATAGCAGAAGCTACCAAGGTTCTAACCGAGTTGGTCCCTTAAAGCTGAATAACGGCGAAGATATCAAGGGCCTAGAGTACGGCCGAGCGTAATAATAGTTTAAGAGAGAGTAGCCTAAAACGGCGGACGCATGCTAGCCAGAATCACTGGTTCTCTCTAACTAAGACAGTAGAACTTCGCGGTTAAATACTTCTCCTCAATTTGCGTTCAAACGCGTTTCTAAAACTTCGTTCTGGCCGGAAGTTGTAAGTTGAAATTCTGGAAGACCGGAAAGGAACTTTAACTCAAAACTTAACTGTTACAGAAATTAACATAATCCTCACAAAGTTAATGGACTTTTATTACATTCCCCATCAGGAGTTGGAGATTTTATAAACTAACCGTTAATTTGATAAGTATTCAATTAATTTCTCATATATATGTATATGTATACACGTACCTTCTGCCCCATATTGGTAACATCTGAGTTGAACTTAATTTAACATCGCCCGCCCCCCATCTAAGTCACCCATGACCACAAGTCCTCGTGAGCAGCATTGTATTGATTTTATTTTATTTTTAAAATGTATTTTTATTGATTGCCCGAGCGAACTCGAAGGCAACTGACAATTAACTTGTAGAGCTCAGTGTCACATAACTTTGGCAGGTAATGTTGCGCTTCCAGACGATCTGATTTAAAAATCTATTTAAATTTACACCTTCGCTCCACACTTACAAACTATCTGCTAACAGCTGCTGATCAGAAAAGACCTTGCAGGCTTAATAAGCACCGGTATGCTTCTTATTCTTAAATCAAAACTGTATGTAAACTTATACAGCTCCTCAATCCGAATGAATTGTCATCCTTTCGTTTTGGCATTTTACGTCGGACTCCTATAAATGTCGGATCACTTTTCAAACTGTTGCCACAAAATGTTACAGTCCTTCATTATATTTGAAGAAATTAAATAATGAAAAATCTGCATAAATGTATGTATATTTCTCGCATTGTGATAAAACAACGGTACCTGGAGCCATCGAATTTTGAATGACGTAATCCTCCTAAGAATATGGGCATGTGGAAGAAGAAATTTGAAATTTGGAATTTGTTTTATTATCGATTGCATATTTTGTAAAACTTTAACGAATTTTTGATTCACAAACTCAACGATTTCAAAGCGAGCAATGGCAACGTTGTACAGAAAAAACATTTTTATGTCCAGCGCGTGAGTCTCTGTACCGGAAATTCTAAAGATATGCCCGTTAAAACTATTTTGCGATATTGCTGTTGAACTGAATTTTATGGTTTAAGTGCAAAGTAAGTGATTTTTAATAAATGAATGTAACAAACAAAACGTTAAAAAAACTCCCCTTTGGACGTAGTTTAAAATCTGAAACCTTTCAGATTTTTATTTATTTTCTATTACATACTTTGTAAAACTTTAAAGAATTCTTTAATTTTATTTTTATACCTAAAAGATATAATATACCTAAACGATGTAATTATAAACACTTAGCTTCAATTTATTAGATTGATAATTTTCATTAAAATTGACTACCGAATTATTAAATTTATTAACATTTGAAGGATTATTTTGATTAACAAAACTAATGCCACATATTTTTGTCGGATAGATAATCTTCTGGTTTTCAGTCTTAATAATAAAAACAGATTCGTGTTAATGGTCTCGTTTAAACCTTCTGGTTATCATTGTACTGTGTAAGCTCGTTTAACATTTTCTCCTACAGCTAGCATCGATGAATTGGGTAGTATGCCTCTGGAGGATGTTTTACAGGATCTCGGAGGTTGGCCGGTAGTAGAAGGAGAAAAGTGGAGAGAAGATTCCTTTGACTGGATGGATACTGTCATAGAACTCCGCAGAAGAGGATACATTTTTAATATATTTATGGGCTTTGGTGTTACACAGGACTATAAGAACAACACAGCTCATATCATTCACGTAAATGTGCCTAATTTAACAAAACTCTGTTTGCTAATTATGTCGTAATAAAGGTAGAAGTATCGTAGTTTAAAGTGAAATAGTATGAAATGATTGTATAAAGATTCATATGACGATTATAGGATCACTCCTGCAATACTTCGGAGGAATGAAGCTGAGATATTAGATCTCTATGTGAAAAATGTTTCGGTAAATGTCAGCAATTACTAAATAATAAAGTATTTGACTACATCGGACACCTCAATTTCGGAAAATATTACAAATAAATATATTATTGGCGTTATTTAGCATAATACTGCATAAAATGTTAAAAACAGGTGATAAACATTATTAAAGTATAGCTTGAAGTTTTTCTTACATTTTGGGTTAACAATTTGGGTAATTTCCCATTTCACCGGCGCAAATCTCGCAATGCTGACTTTATTGACGAAACAAATACATAAACATGAACACATAAACATACAAACACATAAACATGAAAAACACATAGCACACACATTAAAAAGTATACACATTAAAAAAATATTAATAATGCTGTAAATCTCGCTAAACAGTGTTATTGACGACAACACACTGTACACACTTTTAAAAAAATGTTAACAAATGTTAGTTATAAGAATTTTTACTTTGGAGGCACAAATGTTTTAATACAGTTTAATTTTTTCTTGAAATGGCTCTTTCGTTTCCCTTCTAAACAAAATTGTATTTATGATTCACTCTGAAATGTTCGAAACGTTCCTTTCGTTCAAACATTCGATTGCTTCACCGCAAACTCCACCAGACATCCACTGTTGTGGTAGAATTCGTCCCGCATTATTTTTGCATTTCGGAAACATACTTTCATCCACTTCGACGATCATACCAGTTTGGGTACAGAGACGCCCAAAAGCAAACCCAAGAAACTACGCCGACAGGCAAAGCGAAGAAGGGTGGCCTCGTCGAAAAGTAAGGGTCCAAGGATTTCGCGTTACGAAGAATGCCATACACTGTGCGACTTAGCCCACCAGAATGCTGGATAGCAGTGATACTGGTTAGGTCCTCCGGACCTCGACACGGAAGAGACGTACTGTAGCGAAGTCTTTGGAACGCCAAACGATATCTGCAGTAACTTACCGAAGATACCTACTCTCTCTGGTACGTGCGTTCGGCTGCTTGCCCCAATAACCATAAAGGAGGCTGCGGCGGTTTTAAACCAAAACATAGCCAAATCTGCATCAGGACCTAATGGTCTTCTTTTTGCCGACCTCAAATACCGAAAGGGAGGGAAGCAGCAAAACGTCGCAAGTTGCCAAAATTATCCAGATCTGGTTGAGTTCGAGGAACGTACCTACTCAGCAGGCGGTAACCCGAACGATACTGATCCCGAAAGAAGGAGCAACACCTGTGGACATGACGAAATGAAGACCGATTTCCACTGTTAACGCATTAATGCTTTGTTCACGGCCTTGATGACGAAGCGGCTACTGTGTGCAGTTGCTCTGAGGGAAGCTCAGCGCGGATTTATGCCGTGCCCCGGTATCCTGGGGAACTTGTTTCTCCTGGAAGGGTTCTTCGTGAAGGAAATGTGGAGACGCCACATCCAGCAGTCTTCCTATTTTAAGTTGTTGACGTTTAAGCAAAGAATCCACACAATCCTTGCGCATGTAGTTATTCCAGTCCACAACTGTCCGGTGACTGATTTCCAACTGCTTTTCACACCATTTAACTGAATTGTTCGCTTCAACTATAAATAAACCTTACACACTTCAAGAAACTTAATTCCGATGACTCAAACTGTGTGCCTTTCCGGATACTTCTTTTACCGCGAAAGTTGGTAGGTTGCAGGGCCACTGAAATTCGAAACGAAACACAATTTCATTTCATGGATTAATATTACCAGTAGCAATTTTAAGCAAAACGCATTTCCCTTAAAAGACTTCCTGTATTCTGGACAAATCCCAAATTCTCAATGGCTTTTCATCCATTTTTGACGTATTAAGAAAAAGACGTGACTCATAAGAAATGGCCGTGACTTGTTTTGAAAATGTGGCGGTAAACGTTTACCAACGAGAATGTTCAGTTTGTCATCGGTTGTATTATTTTGGCGACTTCATCGCCTGCACCGGCGAAATGGAAAAGTGCCAAAATTTGTTAATTTCAAAATTACTAGGTACGTTCCCACAAAAATATTTATCCATATTTTATTTTCATTATTTGTCACTTATTTTTATTAAGGTATAAAAAATTTAATGGACTAAACTCTAAGTGATAAAGTAAATTAGCTATTAAAGATACCTGTTTGAGTGCCAGAGCTAGCTATTTTTCGAGAAATTTCTCTCTTTTTATTTCCAAAATTGTCTGCAAAAGAATTTTAGATACGTACATAAACCTAATCTTCTAGTCCATTCAATTCATAATATTTCACAGAATATCTGTGGAACGTTTCATAAGATTACTGTAGTAATATTTTAAGATAAATTTTTTTCGTAACAAATAGTTGAAAAAAAATCACGTTTTTCAAACAAAATAGATTTAATATAATGCGAACACAAACAAGAATAAAAGAAAATGTTGGCATGTATGAAAATTAAATTGCAAAGCTAATCTTTTTCCAGAGCACTTAATATCAAATAAAGAGGTTCAAAATCATCCTTTGCACATTAACAAAATTTTTCAAATGAAAAATTCTCATTTTAAAGTTATTTAGAGCAGTCTGTTGTAACTTTAAGTAACAGCTTCAGGTTTCTCAAGTAGAAACTTCTGGTTCACAACGCAGAACAAAAACAGCCATAATTCTGTTTCTAACCACCGGAGAGAGAAAATAAAAGTAGTTTGGGGAAGTTTATTTATGGAAAGTTTAATAAAATTAATATAGCAATATTTTAAGTTAATTTTTGTTTCGTTAAAAAAAAGTTGAAAAATCAATTTTTACAAAAACTAGATTTAATGTAATACAAACACAAACAAGAGTAAAAGAAAATGTTTCCCCAAGTATGAAAATTAAATTCCAAAACTAATCTTTTTCCAGAGCACTTAATATCAGATAAAAAAAAGGTAAAAAAGCATCTTATGAACATTAATAAACGTTTTTAAATGAAAAATTCTCCTTTTAAAATTATTTAGAGCAATATGTGTACCTTTAGACATCAGCTTTCGGATTCTTAAAACTCCTTACAGAGCACAGAGCAAGAACAGCCGTAATTTTGCTTCTATCGACCGGAGAGGTGGAATAAAAGTCGTTTGGGGGTGGAAGCTTAATATATATTAGCTTGTGTACGCTATAAAATAAATTAATAAATATGTTTTTGAAAAGATTTCATAAAAAGAAGTAACGATTGGAACGTAATCGGATATCTTAAATGATGACAATGAACTACGCGCGCCATCAATATTGATCTAAGTAACTGGAGAATGAGAATATCCACAGAATGAAGTGATTGTCCACATCTCAGATGCATTATGTGAAACATTTTAGGTATCTAAGGCTCAAGTATATTTTTCATAAGCCATTTTCCTCGCTGCAAGTGCAAGAGGAGCTGTGAAGATTGCTTCTGTAATATTATCATAGAATTCTCATAACAATATGAATTGTATTGAGTAGATATTTAATTTCAGTTTGTTTAGTTTTTTTCTCTTTTATCCTTGCATTCATAAACTAGGTTAATTTCAAGACTGCACAAATACATAATTGAATTTCAAAAATCATAAAATAAAATAATTTCAAGCTTCAAAGTATACGCTTTGACATAGAAAACAGCAAAGATCATGCCGATTTATTTTTGCGATTATTCTTTAATTTTCCAGGCTAAAATGTGTAAGAAATCCTGAGAAATCTTTCTTTCAAAAACCAACGATTGAAATTTCCACTCAACCAAAGAAATAAAGTGAACATTTTAATCTTCTTAAGATAATAAACAACTCATCATTTGAATATTCTTTATGAAATTTAAATGCTATCTTTTTCCCCCACTATTAAAACATTTCTTGCGCAAAAGAGAAACATCTCGTATCAGATATAAAACTAAGAAAACTAGGAAACAGTAATATTCATAATTTTTGGTTATTTTATTATTTACGTTAGTATAATGTTGCTTATTTAACTTATTAGTCCAAAGGGGCTTTGTCCCTGAAGGACTATTGTTTTCGTTTTGCGATTTTGCGTCGATTCACTTTAAACAGCGAATCACTTTTCAAACTGTTGCCACCAAATGTTAGAGTCCTGCATTATATTTGAGGAAAATAAATAATGAAAAATCTGCATAAACGTATGTATATTTCTCACACTATGATGAAACAACGGTACATAGAGCCATCGAAATTTGGATGACGTAATCCTCCTACGAATATGGGCACGTGGATGACCAAATTTGAAATTTGGAATTTGTTTTATTATCGATTTCATATTTTGTAAAACTTTAACGCATTTTTGATTAACAAAAATTTTTGATTAACAAACTCAAGGATTTCAAAGCGAGCAATGGCAATGTTGTAAAGAAAAACATTTTTATCTCCAGCGCGCGAGTCTCTGTGTCGGAAATTCTAAAGCTCTTTTTAGAACTATTTTGCGATATTGCTGTGAACTGAATTTTATGGTTTAAGTGCGAAAAACGTGATATTTAATAAATAAATGTAACACTCAAAATGTTAATAAAACGTTATTTAGACGTTATTTAAAATCTGAAACATTTCAGATTTTTCTTTTTCTAACTTATTTTCGTTTTTTAATTCTCTTTCTAGCTGGACCAGCCAGGATTGGGGTTATCACGCAACACCTGGCTCAGTGGATTTAATAGTTCCATCACAAATGCTTATTTCAAACTAATGGTGAAAGCAGCAAATAAGTTGGGTGCAGATAAACACACTTCCGAAGACGAACTCAGAGCAGTGCTCCATTTCATGATTCAGCTCGCGAATGTATGTATAGAAATAGTCTTCGTCTTACTCTTGTACTATATTTTAACAGTAATTTTTCCTTTCCTATTATATATGTGGGATGAGGTTAGGGTCAAAATAGGGTAAGGCAATAGCATTTTAAATATATTTAATAAAGAAAAAACAAACATGATTATGGTATGTACAGAGTGAAAAGAAGTAAAATGAAAAGTTCGATTCATCATAAACGGAGTCACATCATCAAGCCACATCGTTGAGTTGTCTCCATCGCCACGTCATATCTCATCTGAATGGAATTCTCTCCATTTCCTCACGCAGCTTGAAGAAGTATCTCGCTGCTGTAGCTGTTGCCAGATTCGGAAAAAGGCAGATAGTTGTAGAAACGAATTAACACACGGCCAATCTGCCTTGCCGGGCGTCCTCGCCTGGAGGTGGATCTGAAAAGAAAAGGAAAAAATCCAGAAAAGAGAGAAAATGAAAATAAATCAATGTCCAGGTGGCGAATGTTAACTTTGTGCACCACCGTTTCATCTGATCAGCAGAGGTTGAGAGGATAATGATGCCTTCACGGCTTAATTTTCGTACTTCGTAACAATCAGAGGGATGAACTGTCTCATAAGGACCGAAGAATTTAGGACGAAGTTTAAGTCCAAGTTTCAGTTCAAGTCGAAGATTCAGTTTAAGTGGAAGTTGCTCTCCAGGCCGGATTGACATTTGGTCGTCAAGTTTGTATTTGCAGGCAGATTTACGACGTCTTTCATACTGTCGTATATTTGCTTGGAGAAAACGGAGGGCGTTCCGTTAAGCTTCAATGCATAAAGGAGCTTGTTCATCATCTTGCTGTGGCAGCAATTTCATTTTCTTTGAAGTCCGTTTAAATTTTCTTCGTTTATACTTCCAGGTTCTTTTCTTGCGTTTCTGTAGGCGTGAAGAACCTAAGCAGTACTTTTTCTTCCAAGAATTTCAGCATTCTTTGTTGCCTCAAAAGCTTCAACTGTATCATTTTCCTGTATGTAACTGATGGTAGCATTTGGATGTACAGGTGATAAATTCAGAGTTATCTGAGATGCTTTTGTAAAACGTTTAGCAATGTGAGAAATCGTAGTGTCAGCTGTAATGTCAGAAACGAGTATTTTCCTTGGATTATGTTTCTGTTTTTTGGGAGTTTCTGCACTTTTAGCAGGTGTTTTCTTGTTTGTTTGATCAGCACATTCTTGTTCAAACTGATTCAGTTGATTTTTCACAGGTTCTTCATTATTTTGCCCGACTGGATCATCACCGACATCATCATCATCATTAGCTTCATGATTGTCATCAGCATCATCGTCGTTATCATCAACATCATCTTCATTGACATCAACGTCATCTTGATCAACATCATCTTCATTAGCGTCATGAGTGTCATTATCATCAGCAGTATCATTAGCTACATGATTGTCATCATGATCTTGATCCATGTCGTCATCTGCGTAAACATCATCAACGTCATCTTCATCAACATCATCCTCATGAGCTTCACGATTGGTATCAGCATCATCTTTGTCATCGTGATCATCCAAATCCAAATTGTCATCATCCAAATCCAATTCCAAATCGTCATGTGCATCATCATCATTTTCCTTAACTGTTTTCTTCAACTGATTTTGATTTTCTTCTATTTCCTGAGAATCTTTCATAGCAATGTCAATTTTGTGTGGTTTGTGAGGAGTAACGATATGTTGAACTTCCTCGCGAATTTTAGATTTTGAGATGTGTGAAAGATCAAATGGAAATGTTTGATCATTAGCAACGTTAGCAAAATTAACAGAAATTTGATCAACATTATTGTTGCATAAATGAATACCGTCTTTATCGAATGTAAATTGAGTTGTTGTAAAAAGTCTATTCCGATAATCGCATCAAGAGGAATCATATAGTCTTTTACTACATGCATTTTAGCAGCTAAAACAGTGTTCTGAATTTGAATGTAGTCCTGAAAGAATCCAATACTTTGAACTGTGTTTCGGCCATGTCCTGAAAATGTAATTCTGGAAGGATGCAGTGGTGAAGAACCAGTTTTGCGGCATGTTTGCTCATTAATTAGTGTTGTTTGTGATCCAGTGTCATAGAGAGATTAACTGGGTTCTTTTAAGTTGAATGTCAATATGCATAGGATGTTTAGAAAAATTTGAGTGTAAAGTGCATTTACAGTACCATCAGATGTAGAACAGTTAGCAGATTCCATAGTAGAACTACCAGAATGTTTGGGTCAGTTGGAATTAATGTGACCATAATTTTGGCAGCTATAACAAAATTTGCCATTAGATTTATTTGGACAAGTATTGCTTTTATGTTTTTTTAATCCACAGGAATAGCATACTGGTTGAGTATCTGATGTACGTTTAACATCAATTTTAGCATTGGAAAAGGAATTTGTAAATTTCTTTGGAGCATTTTGCTTCAAATATTTTGAATTGTTAAAGAGTTTTTCATAAATCTTCAGTTTTTCTTTAAATTCAGGAATGGATTTACAACCGTTAAAATTATTTTGTTGTTTGATGAATCAGGAATACCACTTATAACATACTCAATCAAAGAAGAATCATCCATAGAACCTTTCTGTGCTAGGTCTTTCATAGCTAAAAGATATTCTTGTAAGGTTTCAAATGGTTTCATGTGACGAGATTTCATTATTGATGTAATTGAAGGCTATTAATTTTATCCGAAAATTCATTCAATAAATGTTACTTTAATTGTTCCCAATCAGTAATTCCACGAATTGATCTTATTAACGTTAAAGCTGGACCTGTAAAACATTTTTTAACAAAAATTACTTGATGTACAAGATGCGTGATTTCATAGACATTAGCGATGTCTTCTATGTCAGAAACCTCAGTAATTATCCTGAGAAGAAAAGGGTTTTATCAAATCAGCAATGTCTTTAAAGCCAAAACAATGAAACGGAACATGCGAAAGCAATACTGTTACGAAATGTACAGGCTCGGTGAGATGGCTTCTCTGCAAAGCAGTTTTAGGGTTGCCATAAAATGGCAAGGGAGGCAGGGTTGCCACATTTGGCTAGAAATCGTCTATTTGGCGACAAAAATTGGAGATCTACCATGGACGGTTGGAGAACCTTCTGGAACGAATTCTTACCGGTTTAGTCCAGAATGTTCCCGAACACAAGTCGAAAGCTATATAAACCGTGCTTGTCTGCAGTCAGTGAGTCTCTCATCGAGAGTGTGTGAGCCTCGTCCAGCGAATCAATCCCTGCGGAGTCGATCGAGTTGACAGCCGGGCAGCGAGTGCCGAGTGGGTCGTCGAGTCCACTGAAGGAGTCTGTTAAGTGTATCGCGGTTAGTGCATCGTCGAGAGAGCGTGTTGAGCTCCGAGAAAGACTGAACCGAAGAGTCAGGAGCTGTGCTCGTGTGTCGTCGAGTGCATCGCGGGTTGTAGCGTGGAGATTCCCGAGAGTACGTGGAGTTCCGAGAACGACCAAGCAGAGTCGGGAGCTGTATTCCGGATAACAGAGTCGGCTGCTTTGCAGGAAGCTGTCTCCACCGTGATAGCCTGATAACCTGAAGGCTGTGTCGCTTATTGTTCCAGCGTGTTTATAGTAGTTCATAGACGACTGTAAAACGTGTTTTGGAGCTGTCCTAACAATACTGACTAATAAAGTGTGTTTCGATACTTCATCAAGTGTCGTCGTTATTCACTCCAAATCTACGAACCCCGTACGAACGTGAAAGAAGTAAATAACGTAACAATTGGTGTAAGAAGAACCAGAAAAGAAAAATCGCAACAATACATTTTCAGGCTCACTACTAAGAGAGATTTTCGCCTCCATTTGTTTACATAAAGATTCATCTGGAGTGTGATTAACGTCGAGGGTAAACTTTGCACCAGAGCTTCGTCATCAAGGTCACTGTAGTCAGCGGAATCTGATTTTAATAATCAGCCTGCGTATTTTCATCTCTGAAACACAAAGGTGTAACTTTAGTCGCCCAGTGAATAGACAGCAAAATTCTGCTGATAACGCCAGTTTATACTTAAAAAAAAAACTAATTTTTTCTAGCATTTACTGCATTTACACTTATCTGAAAAATTAAGAATAAACTTTCATTATGTGCAGTGTCTAATATGGAGCTTGCTACAAATGCTCTGCAACACTTTAAAAATGCATGTATTTTGTTCACTTAAATTCAGTATAAGACTTAATTTAAATGCTAACGTTGAAAGACAATTTTATAAAGAATTTTGGTACTTTTCCGTTTCGCCGTCGCAAATCTCGCCAAGCAGACTTTATTGGCGACAACACACAGTATACAAATAAAACATTTTAGCAAATGTTAGGTCTAAGAAATTTTGATTTTGAACGCATAAACATTTTAATATCATTTAAAATTTTTTAAAAAGCCAATAAATAAACAATTTGTAAAAAGACATTAAGAATTAACTATGCTTTCATGATTCGCCGTTACATATCACGTGACCCCAAGTGATCTTATCTCACGTAAACTACGCTACAAAAATCTAATTCCCTAAGTAGTTATCTACATTAATTTCAAGTTAAATCTTAATTTGGAATACAAGTTTAAATGCAAGAATTATCTCAATTAGTACGAATAGCTTACTCAGAAATTTTGTAAAACCGCAGTGCTTTACTTTGCTAATGCATTCTCATTAGAATTGATGAATTTAACCCTTGACTTTGCCTTTTCTATATTTTCGCCTTCGGGTGGGCGATGTGGTTGCATCCTAATTGAATTAATTACCGCGAATGGCCTTAGGTCATAAAACTGAACTACTATCTGGATAAAAATTCTATGTAATTGTATGTCCGTATTGAAAGAAACAATCAATCTGATAAGAAATGGATGCGACTTGTTTTGAAAAGGAAGTGTAAAAGGTTACCAGCAAAGATATTCCGTTTGGCATCGGTTGTGCCATTATAGGCGACTTTCTCGCTTGCGCCGGCAAAATGAAAAAGTACCGATTAAGTAAGTTTTAAAATTACAAGATTACTGTAAATATTACCCATAGGAAAATAGAAAGAAACTGTAAAATTAATATAAGCAGTTTTTCTTTTAATTCTGTTAAATTTTAAGCTATTTTTTATTCAAAAGAAAGTAATAACGACAAATTACAAAATATCAAATACTATTTTGGATCCACAAAATGTGAGATATGTTTCAATTTTTTTCATATATTCAATACATACCTGAATTGGTAATTTAGATACTGATAAGGCATCGACGAAATATCTGCCTACGGTGATTTTTGCTTTCGTGGAGGCGGTTTTATAGGAAACTCAGTCATATTCACGCTGGAGATGAAAATAACCATGAAATGTCCCATGCACTCTGCTTGCTTGTCGAGATATGAACCAGCATCGAAACTGCAGTGTTTGCTGGTGGGCAGGATGGAGTTTGAAAGTTTAGTTGAAGGTGATCAGATATTCAGTTAGGACAGCAAAAGAAGTCTTCAAAATGTAAGACTGAAAAAGAATAAGAAAAGATTTACTTATACTTAAAAAAAATTAATTCTAATGAAAATTCAGATGCCATATATTGAAATTGGTTACTGTCATGTATTAATTAGAGAGATCTTAATATCAAATATTTCAAGACTTCAGTTTGCTCTAAAATACTTTTTGTTATTTCATTTTAGTAAATTGTCCATAATATGTTGTTCTAAAAGTAATATGTAGCGAAGTTCTTAAATACCTATCCTTTCATCCCCTATAGCTCACTGCGCCACAAGAGCAAAGACGGGACATGAACGCCTTGTATCACAAGTATACTGTAAATCAGCTTACACAGGAGGTGCCAAAGGTAAAGCAAGTATACCTTAAAATATTTAACTAATATCATAAATGATAATGGTGACTATCTTCACAAATAGTGCAGCACACTTTTTAAAAAAAATGTAACTTAGGAAGGGGAAGTTTTTGCTTAATATTAAAATATCCATATAAATATTCATATAAAGTCCAGTCATCATATGTTCAAAAGGGTGTTTCCTGGGAAAAAATAAATATTTTTTTCCTTATCAGTGCTATACTTTTTGGGGGGTGGGGGGAGGGCAGAATCCGAATTTTAGGTTTGTCACTTCTCCAAAGACCGGTTTCGGAACAAAAATCGTAAAAAACCTAAAAATTGTTTGAAAGATGACAAATCTGCACGAAATTAAAGTAAATAAAATTTTCGAAACAGTCCATATATTAAGTTTAATATTCGGATAATGAACGATCCGCTAGGGTACGCTGAAAAAATTAAGTGTAGTTAGCTGAATGCTAGCATTGGTCCTGCATGACGCCGCGAAGCAACCTGCTTGTCGTATATTCTAAGCAAATATTCTCTATGTTCTAAGCAAATATTTTCCCACCGTCTCCTCTTATCCTCCACTTGGTCTTGTAACCAGCCATTCATTTGGTGTCCTGCTGTGATCGCGTTAGGTTAAATATTACAAAACCTTTCTCAGTTATCATTTGCGCATATTGTCTCAGGAGTGTAGTACATGTGACGAATCGTTGGAAGATGGAACAGTCAGCTGTGTGGGGTATTATCATTTGAATGGTATAACATAAAAGGGTTGGACAAAAATATAGAAAAACCTTTAAAAAAACATGTTTCTTTGCTTAATATCGTGTAGGAAACCCGTTGACATCCAAAACAGCTTGCAGTCTTCTCGGAATGGATAAATACAGTTCCTGTATGTTTGCCAAGGGAATATTATACCATTCTTCCTGCAAAACGGTGGCAAGTTCAGATAACGATGTTGTCGGTGGATAACGAGAACGCACTTTCCGTTCCAATGTAGACCACAAAGGTTCGATAATATTCAGGTCTGGTGACTGTGGTGGACAGGGGAGATGGGACAACTCATCCTCGTGCTCAGAAAACCAGTCCTGGACACTGTGAGCTGTGTTAACAGGGGCTTTGTCGTCTTGGAAAACACCATCACCATCGGGGAACAAAGTTTGTACCATGGAATGAATTTGATCGGCCAAAATGTTCACATAAGTCTTGGCAGTCATGTGCCCTGACACAGTTATCATGGGGCTAGCAGAGAACCACGATATGGCTGCCCAAACCATAACAGAACCCCCGCCATGTTTCACTCTTGGCAACAAGCAGTCTGTATTATAGGCTTGAGATGGCGTTCTCCAGACGTAAACTCGGCCAGAAGTAGGAAACAATGTGAAAGAAGACTCGTCAGACTATATTACTCCCTTCCACTGCTCTATAGTCCAGGCTTTATGACTTAAACACCACCTTTTCCTGTTACGGGCATTAGCATCACTGATGAGTGGCTTCTAAATTGCAGCACGGCCAGCAATTCCCTGTTTATGAAGCTTCCTTCTAATTGTTTTGGTACACAGGGTTCGGTGACACAACATTCATTTCAGCAGTAACTTTTGCAGCTGTGGTCTTCTTATTTTTCGTCACAATTGCCCTTGATGATCGTCTGTAACGATCACTCAGGACACACGTTCGTCCGCGCTGTGATTTAGCAGATGATGTTTCTCCGCTTTTCAAATATACGGAATAAATCTTCGATACAGTACCTCTTGAAACACTAAACACCTCGGCTACCTTGCTTACGGAAGCACCTACCATACGTGCTCCAACAATTTGCCCACGTTCGAAGTCTGTTAACTCTGACATAATGCAATGACAACCTCACATAACAGTACTCCGACAACAACTGAACTGTTTAGCACATTTACGAAGTTGTATAGGTGGCGTCAGTAGTCAAAAACGCCAGCGCCACCTACATATTTCATTAAAATCAATCTTCCTTTTCAAACATGCATTTCACAAGGTGTTTCCATATTTTTGTCCATCCACTGTATTTCATCTAACATTATGCGCATTAATCAACAATACTTAGAATATAAAACACAAGTTTATACTGAGTGTATTTATGTCACTAATTGAAAAGGTATATAGATGTTCAATACCTGTAAACATTTTTGTAAGAATAATTCAAGTGAGCACATATCACTATAACAAGTCAATATGTAAGTAATCAATTTCTTGCGTTGTGTTGATATAAAACCCGTTCAATCACTATGGTCCAGTGTAAAAAGTTAATTAAAATTAAAACAATACAAACTAAGTAAATCAAACTAACGTTTATTCTTGGTGAAACTGAATCTTTACAGAAAGTGCCATGATAAGAACAATATTCATTTTTAATATTAAGAGGTGGCTTGTTAACATAATGAGCAGAAGTTCCACTAAAAAAAACATATCTTTAAATCAATTAAAAGTGGGGGCCCCACAACCGTACTGGAGTAAAATTGAAATTATCTCGTCGAACGCAGACTCTCGAAATACATGTTTTATTTTTGACAGAGGATCACAGGCTTCAACATGAACACGCATTCATCAAATCTGTAGAAATAAAAGAAAGGGGTAAGCAAAATGAAATCAACAAAGGTAAGGCATCTGAAGACTCAGGCTCCAGTTTTTTCCCTGGACAGCTGCTGCATCAGGATGGTTCCGAACTTCCAACTTTCCATTGACCATTTTCCGGTGTAGAAAGAAAAAGGTTAGGATTTTCCTTTTCAGCAAACGGTCTCAAATTCTAGAAGCCATCCGCCTCTCTGAAGCTCTCTCAGGTCAGCAATGAAGATGATAGAAGTAGATAGCATGTTTTTCTAATCAGACCGCCGCTGCTACTCTCCACGCTGTACAGCAGACGTGACTTATTTTTTTCCTTCGCAGCTCTCCATCTCCTCCAACTGCACAGCAACTTTTGTATCTGGAGAGATCTTGAAATGTTTGGCGAAGTACGATGATGGGGAGAACGCCAAGCGCGGCAATCCCAAACGACGAAACAGATGAATCTTCAGGAGAAAGATTTCCCCATCTACCAGAATTTGGCAAACAACGCGGGTCAACAGTGCAGCCTCCATGGCCACTCCGCTGGGTCAACTTCCTCTCTGTTGATGGAAGGGGAGAAGGCACTAGCCTCGCTTCGGGCTGCCTCTCCACTATGGCAAGCAGCCTAACCGACGAAAATTCACCACATGTAAACAATCACATTTCTATGCTAAAGATGGCAGAGCAAACGGGATCCCGATTATGCAAAACATCCAGATGGTAAAGAAATCCGCACACATAGTTTCCAGGAGGACATCAAGGCAAAGAGCTTGACGAAAAGAATTCGGGGTGCAGCAATCCCCAGATAAGGAATTCTGAGAAACGAATTCCCAGCCGACAACTTTCGATGTGAAAAATTACAAAACCAGTGAATAGTTTTCAGCACAATAAACGAATTTAGTACAGTAAAAATTAAAACTATTATTTAACAACTGAGTTCATTAAAAAGTCAACACATTATAACTTGATTCTTCAGAAGAAATTAAGTATGCGTATTCATTATCCAGATTGAGTTTTTTTTACAAATTGATTGACCTTACCACCAGTCAGAAAAGAGGAATTCGATAAACTTTAATAGAAAGAAGAGAAGAAAATAAGTTACCTCAATTAAAATTAAAATTAGCACACCAAAAGTGCAGCAACAAAACTTTAAAATAAATAAAGTTAAACAACCTTAAGGGTCAAAACCAACAAGTACAAAAACAAAGTAAACGTAAGTTCCTAAACTCAAATTAAAATTAAACAATTTCAACTTAAAAAGACTTTTAAAGCAACCAAACCTAAATTTAAAGTTTAAAAAAGTTATAGTTTAAACTTACAACCAACTTTAAACAAGCTAATGCAAAAATTAATAACTTCAGTTACTGATGTGATGCTTCTTTGGCAATATGAAGCAACTCCAATGATGGAACACAGCAATAACTTTTATTTAACACTCAGAAATGGCGACATACAAACAAGAAGAGAAAACATATTCTATCATTTAAAAATAAATTACATTCTTCGGGCGAGAGTCGCACGAGGCACTCGAGTCTCGTTTCAAATATTGCCATTCACAAATACCTTAATGTTCATTTATTTAAATTATTTAATCTACAAGATTTTAACATTATTTAAAGCTGTTACACTGATTTAAGTAAGCAATTAACTGAAAGCTTGAAAATATAACAATTAATACATAACAGCCAAAGGGCTTGAAATCCTTCACTGAAGCAAGTAAAAAGTAAAAGGCATTAATAATTATTTATGGTACTTGCGTATTATCGCAACCAGGTTGGCGCGATTTGTAAGTTTGAGTAAAAAAGTATGAATAGAAAGAAAATGTACATTTATTAATTACAGATAATTTTTAATACAGTTTTTATATTATTTTGTTTTAAAATAGAAAATAGCAATTAAACCCTTCCGGTCTCGGCTGCAATATTCAGCGAAGTAATAGGAAAAATGGAATCAAATTGCATGCGACAAACTTCCCAACGTTCAGAATATATTTCAGTTATATAGTGCTGCCATCTATCCAGTGAAATCCTAAATAATAGAAGTTGAAAATAATAAACGGATAGAATTTACATAAAGAGAAACATGTTAGTTCAAAATTTTAAATTAGGCGTAAAAGCAGCCTTTGTTTGGCGTAGATTTCAAATTCTATGGAGAAGTCGAGAGCGATCAGGCACAGGTTCTCTTCTTCAGGAGCAAGCATACTTAGCAGAAGTTATTTTTTATGTGTATGTTTTTGAAGATAATGAATTTGTGTCTGATCGCTTTTGAAATCGACAGATGTTTAACGCCAAACTAAGTTTATTTTTTTGTCCAACACACTTTGTTTGAATTTTGAAATACTTCAGTAATATTTCTCATTAATCATTTAATAATTTTATACTCAACAATCATATCCAGGTCAAAAAATGCTGACTTGAAACTGGTAATTATGCAAAGAAGCCAATCCATATTTTAAATAAACAGCTGTAACTAAAAACAGGTTTTAAACCTAAATTAATTAATTCTCTTTAAATAATGTTACAAAACGTGCTTTAACCGAGCAAATTTTCGCTATTCTTCTGATTATTATTGTTATTATCATCATTCCTCCACTCTTCTTGATGAAGAATAATCCTTATATCTCGCGTAACTCAAGAACGAGTAGTCGTAGAACGTTGAAATTTTGTACACAGGACTGCTATAACAGGTATTTGTGCACCTCCCTTTTTCATTGCAGCATATACAGTTGGTATATCTCATCTAGTTAGTCCGTGCAGAGACGATCGAGTTGACAGCCGGTCAGCGAGTGCCGAGTGGGTCGTCGAGTGCATCGAAGAGTCTCTTAGTCTATCGCGGTTAGTGCATCGTCGAGAGAGTGTGTTAATCCCCGGGAACGACTGAACCGAAGAATCGGGAGCTGTGCTCTGTGTGTCGTCGAGTGCATCGCGAGTTGTAGCGTGGAGAGCCTCGAGATTACGTGGAGTTCCGAGAACGACCGAGCAGAGTTGGGAGCTGTACTTTGGTGCTTTGCAGTGAAGCTGTCTCCACCGTTATAGCCTGATAACCTGAAGGCTGTGTCGCTGATTATTCCAGCGAGTGTATAGTAGATCTTCGACGACTATAAAACGTGACTTTGAACCAGTCCTGATTAATATTGCTAAATAAAGTGTGTTTCGGTACTTTATCAAGTGTCTCCGTTATTCACTCCAAATCCACACGAGCCCCGTACGAAAGTGAAGGAAGAAAATAACGTAACAATATATATATACTACATATATATATATATATATCGACTGAGGTTACCTGGCTCGGTGAGCTTAGCATTTTATTCTTATATGTTAGTAAACTGTGCATTTTTCGCTTTAAAAGCGATTGAATTATGTGGTTTTTATGTTCCAGTTAATGTTTTTCGGCCTTTAGTTAATACGCATTTGTTTACATTTGAAATTTCAGTAGAATAGTGAATTAAGTAAGGTTAGGGACTTTCAATGTCTTTTTCCAGAATGGGACCAAAAGTAAAACTTCAGTTTTAAACAACGAAAAATTTGCCATCTTGCCCGCTGGCCGAGTTGCTTGTTTTTGGGTATGAACTCTAATTTTAACTGTCAAAATTGTTTTTTTTTAACTGTATTTGGTGAATTATGTTTTTCTGCATTTTACAATTTTTAATGATATTTTATAACTTTTTTATGCATTTTTCCTTTGCCGCGAAGGAAGAACTGAATTAATTGAATGAGAAATATATTTCTAATTAAATTGGAGGAAATAATTCAAACTGAAATGCAGCATAAAGTTACATGATTTAAAAGGCCGTACGAGGGAGTCATAAGGGGTCCTCATCAGATTTTTTAGTTTCAGTTTACGGTTGAAACAAAATCCTGAAACTATACCTGAAACTTTTCTGTACACTAAAGAGGAAATTTCCTACAATCGTCTTCGTTAGCTGAGAAACAGAAATTGCTTTTTTATTAAAATCGCTTAAATGTACCCAAGGCTTATCAAATGTTACCACAAATCTTCATTTGTCAGCAGCTAGGTCTTTTTCTCATAATTTTCTACAATTTTTATTTCTTTTCGTAATATACTTCGGCCAAAGCGGATGAACTTAAAAGTTTAAACATCTTTATTAACTTCAAATCTTTATGAATGATTTTAGTTACAGCGAGAAAGTTTCGATGCAATAGTTTGCATCGATGCAATGGTTTGCATCCATTGCAAAGATTGCAATGCAATCTTTGAGGACCAAAGGTTTCACTTTTTATACATTTGCACACATTCGAACTGTCTTAGACTACGGTTTTGGCTTTCATTTTTATTTTTAACTATACAATTTTTTTTTTCAAATTTAATATATGTATATATATAAATCTCTTTGAAATGCAATAATGTCGATTTGATTGTCGAGGGCTCTTACAATTTACAATCGATTATTTTTTTACTCAGAAATTGCATTTACCTAACCTTCGAGCCATCTTATCTACTTGCCATTCGCCAAATAAATTTCCTTATTCCTGCAGGCTAATCAAGAACAAAGCAATAGCAGGCGATTATATTGGATATATTCAAATCTTTATCTCAAAATAATGACGGGAATATTTAGATAGAAAATCATTGCCGTAAAGTCCGAATTCTCTAGAATTAAACCACAAAATTTATATAAAATATAACTAATGGGCGTTTAGTATGGAAGAACAGGCGATGTTCATGGTAGTGGTAAAGCAAGAGACGAAAAGTATAGTGCAACAAATTTCAATAGTGAGACGCATGAGCTTGATCTTAAAGATATAGGGCGAATACGGACAAATTTAAAAACTCAACTGCATAAAATCTGATCCCCATATATATATCACTGTACTCTTGTTCATCACTGTACTCTTGTTCTGCACGATCATTTGCTTTATGATCAAAAATGTCTTCTAAATTTTGTTTCAATATATGTGGCTTTGGCCAAAGCCACATATTCTGAACTCCGCTGTTTCATCTGATTGCCCATGACTTTGAGTTTCATTTTTAGTAATTAGAAAATGTCCTAGGACTTTATCTTCAGTAAATGATGAGGTGCCGATTTTATTGAAGCTAGAAGTCTCTATTTTCTTTATCATACAAAACTCTGCATACAAAAAAAAAAAAATATTAAATTAAAGCTGGTATGTGCCAAAGTAAAAACGTATTTCTTTTACACTCATTTTATAGTCTTAAGGAATTTTTTAAAAATCATACCAATATTATTTTAATATATCCCTTATTAAGCTTTCCATGTTTAGTCATTGAAGTTATTTTAAAGTCATTTAACGTTCTTACAAATTTCGTATTTTAATATTAGAAACGTTTAAATATTTATTCTGTTTTCCTACATCAAGTCAAAAATCATACATACTAATAAGGCAAAAACGAAATAATTTTAGGGTTACACTAAAGCCAAACTTTGCTTGGCGTAAAACAATGCTGCCAAGCAATACTCTCTAAAAAAAAAAAAAAAAAAAAAAAAAAAAAAAAGAAAGAAAGAAAAAACTGAAACAAAGCAACAAAACATGGAAGAAATGGCATGCGCAGACAAATTAGAAACCGCTGATTCGCTAACGCCGACCATGACGTCGAAGAGGAGGGGCGAAATCAGAGAAGTAGAAGAAAAAATAGAAAAAATAAAAGAGCAAGGCTTATATATTTATCTAATATGTATCCACTAGATTTGAAGAGAAACTGCATACTTATCCTATTTCTATAAACCTATCCTTTATTACTCAAAATCTTTTAAAAGAGAGGGTCACATCTTACGAAAGTTACATGTTACCCTATTATAGAGAGAATATAGTATAGTAACATATGTGCTTTTTTTTTTTTGTTTCTTGCATTGGCGATTTGGCGAGCTTGCTTTTGGCGTTTCGGCGTTTATTCTTTGGCGCCGAGAAGCATCGGGGTTTCTTTTCGGGGGATGCAGCCATGGAAGCAGGACGGGATGCGCTGAACCTGCGACGCTGCCACGGAACCTTTCGCGACGGAAGCCCGTCGTCGCAGCGGAATTACCGGAAAGCTTAGATGCGTCCCGGAACCTTCCGCCAGAGCGGCAAGGGTTGCGCGTATCCTGCCCTCGGATTTTACCGGAAAGCTTGAAAGGGTCCCGGAACCTTCCGCGACCGATGGAATATTTTCCTGTGTTCCAATACCTTTCTCCCGTCATCGAAAAGAAACGTGGATGCACTGGAATTACCGGAAAATTTAGAGGGATCCCGGTCCATCCCGCCACCAATGAAATATTTTCGCATGCTGGGTTGCAGAGAAATGTGGATATAGAAGAATGTTCCGAAATAAGAAATCATTGAAAATGAAACATTTTCGCTAATTATTAAAAAAACCAGTACAACCTTTTTTAAACGGCCGTTTTCCATTCGAATAACAAAGCCACATTTTCTTCAATGCAGAAAAACCGCGACGTGCCAAGAAAATGGTAAAATATATACGAGTCATTAAAAGAATGTTGTGGATGGTGGTGTTTCAACGGTTCGTGACAGCATTTATATTCATGTGATATTTTATGTCAAAGTAAAATGTATCCATTTTACGAGTCAAAATGTTGGTGTGGATTAAGGAATACTGTTACGAGCAAAATGTTAAGATGGTCAAACGCGTTTCGAGTACCAGACTGAGCACGTCTTGAGGTAAGAGATTATACTTATTTTTTTTTTATTTTGCCTACCTATCTTAACTATTATTCTATGTATTATATTTTGCATTCGTTAAATTTCCCAGGCGGTAAATCGAAGAAACAGGAAAGCTCTTCAGTGAGTTATAATAAAGGCCAACCCGAAAAGATTGGGAAATAAATATGTTTTATAATTGTTTAAGCAGAAAAAAAAGTCAAAAGCCCGGAGAAATTTGACAGTAGACTGACCTTATATTTGACGGCATTTTACTGTCTTAGCGCTCCAGGTATTGATTTCATTAAGTTCGATATTATAACAGTGTTTTGCTCATCAGCCTAAAAAAGGTCTAATAATGTAAATATTTCATAAAATGTTTAAAAATATTTCCGAAGAAATGTGTTATTTTATTAAATGTGTATTAATACAGTACATGGTCCGCAAAATATGCAAGTTTCGAATTACAATAATATTTGCAGTAATGTACTTTGAAATAGATCTAAGTTTTAAAATAATTCATTTTATTTACTATTATTTAAAGAACACTCACGACACGTTTTAATTCTATACACTGAAACCGTTAGATTCCGAAATCGGTTTAATCCTAGTATCCGGTGCACACGGTATTTGGCTACTTTTGGCGACTTTTATGATGAGCAGTAAAAACGGCACATATACGATGAGTAGTAAACGGGTATTCAAAGAATATATATAGTTATACATAGTATATACTATGTATATAGTGATAGTGTATAGTACTATCACTATATATACATAGACGTTTTTTTGGTAATTTTTGGTGTTGTCGATAATTTTCAAAATCGCGCCAAGGCTACACCGTATACTAGGATTTTACCCCGAAATCTAAAAATAAAAAGTCGTCTGAGATTTCCATGGCAACTTAAATAGTTTTATTTCTCATGATTTGCAATTATAGTAAGAAGAATTTTAAGAAAATGTTTAAGGCTTGAGTGTTTTGGAATCCAATTTACACCATCTTCATTACTAAAACTAACGTCAGTAACTCTCTAGAAAATCTAGATGTATGGAATCTTGAAATATTTACGCTATGGTGTAAATGCGACATAAAAAGCTTATACTTATTACTACTTGTCAAAGGATAATTATCTTCCGATACGAAGTTTTGTAGTAAGAATAATGGCTTTCTTTGGGACGCCCGAGGGATTGCTAAAATTCTTTACATTATTCATTCATTCTTGCTTAAGTCTTAA